GAAGACCACACTTTTCTTGGGCCATTATCTCCGAAACCGTTCAACTTTGGACATAGGTGTTTTGGGTTATATCGGCATACTTTAACATAAGGAACACCCTCCCGAAGTTTGGTCCATTCCTCCTGGGACACCCTGTATATATGTACATGTCTGAATTAATGTTATTGAGATATTTTTGAATATTTAATTACTTTCTGGAAGTCTTTGCCAGAGGCTTATATGCCGACATTGCCATCTTCGTCTGCAGTCACTCAGTTGCAGTTAGGTGGTGAGGTGTCATAGACTTCTGTCTGTTCCAGTATTGGAAAAAATAATAAGTTCATTGAAGGTAAAAGTGTGGAGAACTTCGTGTATTTCCTTTAGACACTGTTCACGTGATGAGTGATTACAGATATAGTGACAGGTTGGCTGGAACACATTCATCTTTTAGTTTGTTGACCATTAGTATTCAGAATATTTATTGTATGAACAAGTCTTTACAATTGACTTCATGTATTGGTTGGGTGTGCATTGAATCCAGGTTTACAGTACTACTGAAAGGCTTGATTGTAATTTTATCACAATTAAGAAATATTCATTGTATGTAAAATTTCATTTTGGTTTACAAGGTATTAATTGGCCTGAGTCACTGTTTGGAAGTTGGTGTTCTAATGTGGTTTAAAACATGATGAGTAAATCATCACATGGTGCTACTGTATTGAAATTTATTATTTTAATTTTTTAAAATTAAATGTTGATTAAGATCTTTGAAGTTGAAGAAACTGAAATAAAGTCAACTTCCATATCATGCACACATATTCATATATACAAGTATTTCATTATTACATGACATACCTTGAAAAATGGATTCTGAACATAAAAATAAGTGAACAGTCTTCTATGAATATGTACCCAGAGGACCTTCCTTAAAAAGTTACCCCTATTCTGATTTCAGCTTTGATGGTCACAATTTAAATACTTCTGAAGATAAAGGGTTATATGTAAGAAGAAAACAGAGTTATTAATAACCCCTTTCTTTATACTTTCTTAGAAGCATTGCTTGAAATGGCCTTCATGTTTCATGAATATGCAATTCAACACTGCATGAGAAAGAAGCTTGCAAGTATTGGTAGATTTTGGCTGTATCTTGCATTTCACTTGCATTTGTTGAATGTGATGCCACAGTTCCTCTATAGTATTGACCATTGGCATAGACTGTGATTTCCAAATATCCCAGCATAAAAAGAAAATTGAGAGGACTGAAGTTAGGTGAACTTGCAGGCCAGGAAGCTAAAGCTTCATACCCATGACTGATCAGCATTCAGGATAATTTTTTGACAGCTATTGGCTCACTTCACAAATGTAATCTGGTGGAGCATTGTTGTGTAGAAATCACATATTGAGATGGATATTGTAGGACACATCTTTCAATAGGTTTTTAAAGTCTGTAAGAAGAAAATTAGGCAATTGCAGCCATTAACTCCTGACTTTAAAATATGCGGATGCATGAGGCATCAAATGGATCTTTACAATCACCATGCAACAAAAACAAAATGCCCCTAAAAACCTTTATTTTTAAGAATGTAGTGGCAGGACTGACATTTTCTAATGGTTGTAACTTCTTGAGAAAGGCCCTTAGAGTGCATATTCACATAAACTTTTTTACATGCTTGATGCCCAGAATGAGACATTCTGTGTATATGACATTTCAGACCATACTCTCTTTCCATTTCTCTTTACCCTGCAGCATATTTAGTTTTGGTTTCGATTCTCACATAGGCTTTGTTAAACAAATAATGTTATCTGGAGGGCATTGTCTTAGCTTCCGGGCACAGTTTTGGAAATAAATATCAGAAGAATGTAGCACTGTGTAGCCATGCTGTTACATTGGCATATCCTGGATTCAGTCTGCCCTTGGCCTGTTAGCTGTGAATAGTCTGTTATATGTGCGGTGTAGGCATTGCCTCACTGCTGCTGTTCCCAGAGGATGACTCAGCAGAGTCCAGCCAGCAAGAAGATGACGAGTCTGAGGCAGGCGAGACTGACGAGCAGGACACAGAGGAATTTGCCCTTGCAGATGAACAATTAGAACGCAGGAGGTAAGTACAGATACATTTAAATGTTAAATACGCGTATATGTCATATTTATTGATCTGAGATTTATAGAATAATTTTTATCCCCCCCCCTCCAGCCAACTACATAAGTTTCTTATAAATCATTTTCTTGTATATTATACATTTAAAAAATACAAACTTAAAATGAAAATGTGCTACCTTGATGCATATTTGTTACTGATATAATTAAATCGTTGCTCTCCATATATTTACAAAAAATATCATTTTTTAGTGTTGCCAGCTCGCTTTTGTTTCTCCATAATAATAAATATGGTAAGTTAGTGGGAGGTTGTATCATTGTAACATCGGCACTTGTTAATGGACATTTATGTGGCTATAATTTTGTGCTGGTTCTTAAGTAAATGTGTTTCTCATTTTGTATGTTTTTTGCACATTACAATCCCGTTTTAAGAACAAAATCGAAGTCCTTATACCTTTGTTCTGAATATTTTACTACAACAAGTACTCCAGGTATTTTTCTTCCACGCATGTTGTATTAAAACATTTTGTAGATTTTTAATCCCTCCTCCCGTTGAACGTAGAAGTTTCCTACCATGATCAAAGTTCTGCTATGCTGTATATATTGGTAATTGTCAAGGTGAAGTGTAATCTTAAAGGAATTCATGTGATTTATTTTTTTCTTCCGGGCTTCATTATTTATGAAACGGGAGTTCATCTGTGTCTAAATACAATACCAAATGTTTTCTTTTGTTCTCCTATGGTGATATATACTTTCCTCCTCACATTTTAGTTATACTTTGATTTAAATGTTACAGCTCAACTGCTGGACATGGTCATCGTAATAACCTGGCACCACAGTCGATGCAGTGGGCAATTCGCAACTGTGAAACAGGGGCAAGAGCTGGAGGTATGGAGGCACCTTGTGGATTTCTATCATAATCGTTATATTCTGAGAAACTTAACACATGATTAGAAGCTACTTCTCGGGTTTAAGTGATGATATGTAATTTAAGGAGCAATGTTCAGTTGATTTACCTTGTTTTGCATAACAATTGGAGGAATTATGATTCTCATTCATGTGTAACAGGATGACATGCATGGTCTAAGTGGTAAATGATACATTTCTGTTAAATTTCCACATCAGATGACAAAATTTATCCCTTGAACCAAAAATAGTTTAATCTGATTAGAAAGAACTCGGTTATATATTATATATCTTTCGTTATTTAAAAAAGAAGTGTCATTGTAGTGAAGATAATTTGGAGAGGTTTTAACTGTTGACAGTCACAACCAGTGCATTTTAAACCTGTTAAGATCATTGTATATATGAGCCCTTGCACTTATAAATGTGTCCATCTTCCAATTCGTTCATTTAAATGCATGCATTGTACCTTTTCGGTAGGTATTACCATCAGGAGAGAATCCTTATCTTATTTTGTAAGAGGATGTATTCAAATGCAATAATCCAATGAGACCAAATGCCATATAATTATTTCCTCATAAAACCTATTACAATTTGGTTGAATACTGAATTTACCTCGTAGCCTGAAGAGGTATGCAACAATGCTGGCAGTTCTAAATGTGTTTTTTATTTTTTTTATCTATACTGATAAGCAAATGTGTATATATTCATTCCAAATGATAACTTCACTTGTCATTTTAGTAGGGGTGAAATTTGGTCTCTCACCCTAAGGGAAGAAGTAGGTTTGGGTGTGTGAGAATAGAGGCTGAAGAGAGTATTTGGACCATAGAGGAAATACAGGAAGCACAATGGGAGGCTATATAATTTGTACTCGTAACAAACTATTATTAAGGTGAGTAAGGAGGATGCTCAGCAGTGCATGCAGCTTGCATGTAAAGATGAGAAATGTGTGCAAAATTTGTCAAGGAAAACCTGAAGGATAGAGACCACTTCAGAGGCATTGCCATACTGTAGGTGTGAGGATGAGATTAACATGTATCTTAAACAAACTGAGTATCAGTGTGTAGACTGAATTCATGTGGCTCAGAATAGGATTGAGTTATGGGCATGGTAATGAACTTTTGGATTCCATAAGAAACAGGGAAATTCTTTACAAGCTAAGTAATTCTTGGCTTCTTGAGAAGGGCTCCTAATACTGGGCAGACAAAATTTTAAGTAGAGAACTTGAAAGGAAAGAGATCACTTTTGGAAACTATGCACAGATGGGAAGATACATCCTCAAATACTGACATGATTCCTTCATTATGATGTATTCACGAGAGATTTATGAGCTGGAGTATAGCTTGACAAGCTGAAAGATTCTTCAGTGTTATTTGTGCCCTAACAATTCTTGGGTTGACTTTTAAAAAAATATGTTACTGTTATAAAAAAACACATGAATTTTTCTAAGATGGTCACAGTATGTATATGTATGAAATTATCTTATCCAGTCATGTAGAGTATTCTTAACAACATAGACTCAGCCCAAGAAAGCAGTCCTGGAGGTGTTTTGAAACGGTTTAATCATTGTGGTAAAGTTGGTCTGGCTTTGAAATTCTTGAAGATTCATTCTTGGGAAGCTAATAGTCATTCAGGAAGCTTTTTATGGAATCTAAAGGTTCACTACTGTGCTAACAGAAGAGGGTAGGCACTTAAATAGCATTTTATGGAACCTGAAGTTTCATTACTTTATTACACAAAGGCCTGCCATTGGATCTTATTCTGAGCTAGATGATTCTAGTCCACCTCTTTACATAATTTATTTTTAAGGTAAATCTTAAGTATCTTGCTTATACCAGTCATGCAAAAGGTATGATCTTCAGAACTAGAACTGGAAGAACTTGATGGTAGCAAGAACGCTTTTGTATTCAGCCTGATGACTGCCAAGAGTGTGGCAGGTGTGCGTGTTGCAGGTGGAAGCAGTTTGGTGTTCATTGATCCTTCTTCCCTACGACGATCGACCACTGCAACAGCCGCTGTTGCTGCTGCAGCAGCCAGTCAAGAGCCAGTCACTATGGCGACAACAGCAAGTTGCTTGGCAAGAGCATTTGGCATTGTTGTGCGTCAAATAGCAGATCTTCTCACCATGCTTCAAGACTATCATGCACTTGCACCTGCTTTATCACGAACACTAGATATATCTTATCAAGAATCCATTAATTTACAGGTATGTATAAATTAGTTTATCGATATTCTTTGCATCATTTTGCAGAGTTTGTGTTCTGTTACTAATTTACAAATTATGCAGGTTACTAAAGAATGGAAAAGGTTTTGAAGGAAAAGCATGGATTACCTTTATGGAAAACTAGTAATTAAATAATTACTGGAGGTGGTTCAGTAGGAATTTCAGGTTGATCAGTTGACATTGTTATGGGTGGGAAAGGATTGCTTAATTTGTCCAAAAAAATAGGCATCATATTGGAACACTGGGTCTACGTTGCTTGTGTTTTGTGTTGGGAATAATTTAATATTATTTCATGAAAAGCATTGTTCTCACCAGTGATGTGTTATGGTTTGTTTAATTTTGCTGTCAGTCACAGAGTAATCAACTTTTAGCCTGACCATTTTACTCATTCCCATTTATGCCAGTTAAGCAAGAGTTTACTTAATTGTATTTATATAATATTTTCTGTGTTTTTTAATCTTTGGTTGCTTTGCATAGCAGTTGTAAAACACTTTTATTATTAATTTTTGAATACTTTGATGTACATTGCCACAGTTATACTTGGAGTACCATCTCAAGCCTACTTGGGATTGGCTACTGACTGTGATGGATTCAACAGAAGCTCAGCTTCGGTTTGGTGCCTCTCTGACACATTCATCAGATCCAACACATCCAGGTCACCCACTTCATCAGACAGCAGGCCTTGGACTAGGTGTTGCAGGAGGACTTGGAGGTCTTCTAGGTTCTGCTGCTCTGTCCCTTTCTGTGCTGGGAGGAGGGTCAGGCACATCTGGAACCACAGCAGGAACTGGAGGTACTCGGAGTTCTGGACATAGAGCGGTGTCATCAAATTCCACTGCCACTACAACAGGCACAAGAATTGTTGGGTTTGCAACTGGAGGTGTGGATGCACCAAGGACTGCTCGGGACAGAGAAGGTGAAAAGAAACAATAATCGGAATGTTAGTGTGCATTTCAGAGCAGTAGGTTAATAATGAGCAGTGGGCATAGGAAAGAGCCTGCTGAAGTGAGATTTTTATGTAGCAATTGTAAATATATTTCTTGTTGTTGTTGCTGCTGCTGCTAATGTTATGCCTCACACCTTTTCATCTGTTACTATAGCTGTGTCTGATGTGCGTGTCCCTGAAGGCTGTGTATGAAATATTTTTGTAAGTCAATAGTTACACACATGATGTTTGATGTTATATCCGATAAACTTAATATAAGAAAATTTATACTTAAGTAAGAAGTTCTTCCAAAAACAAATATAATAATACTGTAACGTGTCGGGAATCCAGAAGAGTCACTTCTATGGAAACGCTAGAATAGACCGTTGCATAGGAAACAACAATCGCTCCATTGTAGTTCTAACAGGAGTCTCCATGGATATGACAGAGGGTTTGTTGCATAGCAGCGACCGAGGTTATATAGCGGGGTTGAATGCATTCGCACAGTCAGTCTTTACCCAGCCTTCGAAGAAGAGAGTCTTGAACATCCGCCAGAGAAGAGAGTCCAGTATCGCCGAGAAATTGTGTAGGATAACGATTGTAAAGCGTGTGGTTGTGTAAGTGTCCAATAAAGAGTTCTACGGAATTTGAGACCCACGTGAATTTATTTGTAGCGTGACACACAAAACACGCTACAATACTTTTGGTGGTGGTGGTTGTGATGTTGGTGATTAGGAGGACAAGGAGGAGAATAATAAGAAATTGCATCATCAACTAATAAGAAATTGTGGCTTGATGAGGTTGTAGTCCTGTGACCATCTATGCTTGAACCCAGTATGCTTACCCATGAACTGAATTGCATTATTGGATTATAAGCATACTTAATGTAACACCACAAGATGTATAGTAGTGGAAGTCTTTGCAGTGAGGAAGTAGGTAGTATGAATTGTTGCCAGAACTCCTTGTCCGTTTTGTTGTCGCATTAATCTTTACCTACATTTTATAAGTTAAATCTGCATGACATGCAAACATTTTAAAATGAATAACCTTTTGAAAGTTTTATAGAAAGACGTGCTGCATGGGCAACTGTGGAACCATTTGATACTACATAATCATTTGACACCAATTTGCATACAGTATATATTCACCACTTTGTTGCCACCATTGCATATGATGATATACATAAAGATATTTAAAATTATGTGATAATGTTTCAAGACAAATTTTATATCCCGTGGCCAATATTTAGATTTTCCCATTTTACTTAATATGTATTTAATGTATCTGGACCTCACCTTTACTCCAGCAGAAAAGTAATTTATAGTCATTTGATTCATAGTATGGTGCTTCTGGTTGCCATTGATTGGTGTAGGATTTAAATCCTGAGCCGCTGCTGTGTTTTTTTACAGCTGCAGATCCGCAGTCTGCACGAAGAGATTTCCTCTCATATTGTCTGTCTCTGATGCGAGCACATAATGCAGAACATCTTGATAGCTTACCAATACTGGATGTATCAGCTTTGAAACATATTGCATACGTATTTGATGCTTTAATCTACTACATGCGATCTGGCACAGAAAGTCCTGATGCTGATCTCCGTGATGGACTGCCAATGGAAACTTGGAATGATCAGGTAAAAAAGTCTTCAGTGTCTGTTCTGTTTCAGGTGTTTATGAAGACTGTTTAAAGTGGAAATTATAGGCTGTGAGCTGTGAGTCAAGTGGTATGAGGTAGGGGGGAGGATACTATGAGCGGTTGGAGAGATGGGGAAGGGGTGGTGGTATTTGATATGTGTGTATTTACTAGAATATCAAATATGGGGTATTATATGTCCTCATACATGTACCACTGCTGCAAAATTTTGAAAAAAAAAAAACAAACTTAATTTGGAAACGAGACAGAAGAGCTTAGACTTAAACTCGAAACTTGAAATAATAGGTCTGTATGAAGTTGGCAGTTCATCAGAAGCAAAAGTGATACTATAGATTAACTTCTTTGACATTGTTTATGATATTAAAAATAAGAGAGAAAATATATATATATATATATACACTAAACCTAAGTAAAGTAACATTGGGCCATGGCATAGCTCAAGCGGTTAGTCGCTGGCTTCCCACTGCGGCAGCCTGGGTTCGATCCCAAGTCTGGTCAAGTGGGATTTGTGGTGGACAAAGTGGCGCTGGGGCAGGTTTTCTCCGAGTACTTTGGTTTCCCCTGCCAATCTTCATTTCATCAAATTCTCCATCATAATCATCTGGGGCAGGTACAATAGGACAATCAGTGGCCACCATGCCGAGTGGACCCAACTGGACTCCACCAACCACTAAGTGAATTTATAAAAATAGAAAGTAATTTTGTTCCTTTTTCTTGTCAGTGATGAAATTCATTACTTAGTATCAATTTGTGATTGTGTGATGGACATCATGAAATGAGGTGTGTGCTTACAGCATAGCATTATAGGCATTGGAACTACAGATGATATGGATCCTGTCTAGATGTCTTAAAATGAGAATTGTTTTCATAACAATTGTGGTAATGTTTTTCTTTTCATAGAAAGGTAAACATTTATGGATCCTTGTACAGTTATGATAAAACAAGTATTCATTACAGTGAGAATTTTTGGAGCTATAAATTCTCATGATACTGAGGTTTGGTCATCAGTGATTAGTAGATTACTTGTTGTTCATTGAGATCTTTCATCATCACAGTACCACAGTTTCTGTCAAACTTCCTTGTATGACTTAACTGAATATTTAAATATTCATATGATAAGTGTATTATATATTAGTCTTTTCATGTAATAATTTTTTTGTTATTCCTAGTTAAGTAGCGTCTTTCATACAGAGGTGAGTGTACTGCAGAAAATTCTACCGTTAAATGACTGAAAGTAAAACTTTACCTGTTTTGTGCATAGGATGAAAATGATAATGATGAGGGAGATGATGAATTGAATCACTCAGTAGCAATGGAAACTGATTCTGTTGATGAGCAAGAAGCTGTTGGACCAGGAACTGGAGTGTTGGGTGTGAGTGCTGTCAGTCCCAATGGGAAAGGGCGCAAGAACCCATTTCTTCAACGTTCAGACTCTACTTTGTGCCTTGGTTGTCCACCACCAGATCCCTTTGACACACCTATGTCTGAAGCTTTGCCTCTGGCAGACCAGCCACATTTGTTACAACCTAACGCCAGAAGAGAAGAACTGTTTGGGATGCCTAAACAGCCAATTACTGTTCCAGCATCAGGTATATTATCATAGTTCTGTAAGTTGGTTGGTTACGTAAATTAACTGTTATTTTTTTCAAGAAGTAAACCCTGGGAGCACTTAACACTTTTCAGCCCTGTGCAGCATCAATACTGATAGCATCATTAAATAACAGATTTTAAAAAAGAAGGCCTTAGCTCTCTTGTCCTCCTTTACAGTAGGTGCCTATCCTTCTCTCCATCCAGCATCTATCATTACGTTTCTAAACGTGTCGTCTTATAAGGTGAAGTTATCAGTATCAAGGTGAACCAGTCTGAAGGACCAGATGCTGTATTTCATCTGACCCTACTTTCCATCCTATCAAGAATGGGTGACCCAACTAGGACCTTATGCCCCCTTAGTGTAGCTGTCTGGGTGGGTGAACATAGCATGCAGACCTCTCCACTGCAATAAGGTGGTAACCCAGGGGAAGGACTGAGAAGGCTTACAATATAAATTAATTTATTACTATGATGTACATTGTGATCATATAATTTCTGGATTATATTTTTTCTTTCGAGGTCACTGCATTTTTCCTGTATTCTCTGGTGTTCTCTTGAATTCCCTTACAACTTGATGCTGCAAATCGAAAGTTGTGCTATTGTAAGGAGCATTTGCAGAAGTCCTGTGTTTTGAACTCAACAGCTGCAGCCTGAAATTGTTTTTGAATTGTGATGTCATCAAATTTCCCTCATTTCAGTGCCAGCTTGAGTTTCACCTCCTTTGTTGTCCAACCAAAGTAATTGTAGGTCTCTTGAAGGTTTCCTGAAGATCCTGTCACACATTGACACAATCCAGTTTTTGCTAGCCAGGGCACAACTGATAACATGCTTCACAAAGTGTAGTTTCTGAGTTATGCAAGCCACAACTTGGAAATGAATGGCAGAAAATGACCTTCTGCTCTACCTCAACCAAGCGGTAAAATTTTGTCCTCACTGCGATACTGTTATATTGTGGAAAATCTGGAAAATAATTGATCACACTATATTTATTCTTTCAGTGTTTGTATGAACCTATTCTCTGATAAGTGTTGATCCAGGAACTTAAGAATGCTTGATTTAGAGAATATTTTGTGTCATGTGTTGATGTTCTATCTATGCGCTATGCTTCTTGAACTCATCTAACCTCACCTCTTGTACTTCTGGGACTCTTTTGTTTAGGGTCAATTTATGTTCATGCCATTGAATGAAAAGATGGACTACCTTTCCTCTTCCATTTTATTCACTGTTTTACTGATGTCAAGAAAATTCTGTTGTATGTTGCTAAAAGATGTTTTTATGCTTAAAACAAGAAGTCTTTTCCTCTTATAAGTGATAGTCACATTGTAAGTTACAATAGATTTTTCAGATCATATGGATAGGAATTTTTGCAGTATCCATCTTGATAAGATACATCATTTTCCTAATACACTCAACTCTCGATTATCCGGGATAATGGTGGGGATGGAAATCACGATTAATCGAAAACCTGGTTAAGACAAATTTTATTAAAAGTAGTACTGCAATACTGTACCTTCATAATACTATAGGCCTAGCTGTATTTAAATTTATTCAACCTCATTTTTATGTCATCTCATGGCCTATTTAATACTTTTTTTACATTACGCTGAAGTATGAATTAGTTATTTCAGTCAGTGTTCAACAACATCCAATACTTTTTACTAATATTCACACTTAGCACTTAAAAAAAATGTAATATTGTCGTTTGCTTTTTCGTATCATTTTCCTTTTTACGGATATCCATATGAAGCCTGCGTAATATTAGCTTGTCACTTAATAAACTGTTCTCTTCACTCTCAAGATAGTTTAGTAAGGATTCCAAATGATTAAGAGCAGCACCATGTGATATTTTCTTACTAGCAACACTGTTCACCTCATCCTCATTCTCACTTTCTTCCCGCTCTTCTGGCTGCACCCCCACTGAACTTACAATTTTGTCACTGCTTAACATTTCAAAGCCCGGCTCACACGAGTCAGAGTCAAACCACTCTCTTATATTTTCCTCGTTGACTTCTTCACCACCATGAACTTTGTTAGCCAATTTTGTCAATTCTATGGCTATCTCATTTTCACTGAATCCAGTGAATCCATGGATTTTGACATCTTCATTAGTGATGAAAGGCATCAGTTTCTTCCATGAATTTTTCAATACAGATGGCTTTATTGTATCCCACGTTGTTGAAATCTCGTATATGGCATCTAACATTGAAAAAGACTTCCAGAAACACGTCAGATCATCGCCTTCATCGATGTGCTTTTATAGCAAATTTGATCTGTAGATTCTCTTCATACGTGAGATAACTCCTTGATCCATTGGTTGGATAAGTGCGGTAACATTAGGAGGAAAATATTTCCATCATCTGACCTCAGGGGACTTTTGTAACGATGTGAGGGCGCATTGTCAATGAGGAGCACAGCTTTCTCAGGTAGGCCTTGGGATTTTAGATGGTCACGAACTTGCACAAATTTAAAATCAAACCATTCTTTAAATATCGCTCTTATTCATCTAAGCTCCTTTCTGATTAAAGTAATGGATAGGCAGACTTGAATGTCTCCTTACTGGATTTGTGACCTGGAGCCTGTCTTTCATTTTGAAATGCGAAAGTTCTGGTCAAGTATTTCCAATAAAGACCCATTTCATCAGCATTATAGATTTGTTCTGGCAGCAGATTTTCACTTTTCATGAAACTATCAAAATTGATGCAAAATTGAACAGATGATGACAGGTCCCCTGACAATTTCTCACCTTGAATAATAATTTCTCGTATTCCATGACGCTGCTTGAAACGTGTAAGCCAACCGGAAGAAGCGTCAAAACTTCCTTGTAGTTCAAGTGCTTCGGAAAAAAATTTCGCTTGTTTAGCACAAACTGCTCCTGTTATTGTTGTTCCCTGTGCCCTTAGTTGATTAAACCAGATCAGCATTGCTTTGTCAAGATCATCATATGTTGATTTTTTCATGGTTTTTCTCTTCATTCCGCTTGAATTAGAAGACGAAGCAAAGGAAATTAATTGATTCTTTTTTTTTTTCTTTTCTTCAAATCATGAACAGTGTGTTCTCCAATACCATATTGCATCGCTAATTGTTTAACTGCATCTCTTTTTCCCAACTGATTGATAATTTCAAGTTTTTGTTGAAAACTTAACACAGCACGCTTCCTTTTACACGCTGACATTTTGCTAACACACTTCAAGATTGATACAAAGAGACTAACTGGGGCGGTGTATCTGTCCTTGAAACTTTCCACAAATCCTTGCATTCTTTCACCCCTACCCTAGAACATTGTGTTAGCATAACGGGACCAAAAAATGCAGAACTTGCTTCACACTAGTGCGAAAATAGTGTTACAACTCACTATGTGAAACAAAAGTGAATGAATATTAAACAACATATAAGCCTCAAAAGAGCCCCGGTTAAGCCACAAACCAGTTTATCTGCCCCCAGATAATCAAGAGTTGAGTGTAGCTCCAAAATATATGCATTTTGGTTCATAGTTCAAAGTTGGTGAAAACATGTAGCTGGTTTTCATTTCTGCCTTCTGGATGAACATAAATAGTTTTTCCTCAATAGTACACATGATTCTAAGAAAATGTCTTTCATATAGTGAAGGTGTGAAATATTAGTCCAGGGCTTCCATTGTGCATAGTACTGATTCTCAAGGAAGAGGTTTGTACTTTGCATGAAGTGTCATAATTAAAAAATTGTTTGCACTAATTGATGGGACACACTCTGATTTGGACTTTTATTGTTAATCTTATCTGTGAACAAGGATAGCTCAGTCGATAAAATCTCCAGCTGCAAATTACTGTGGTTTGATTCCCTAGAAGGAGAGAATTTTTCTATTGGAAACCATTTTCACAGTGCTCTGTAACCTACCTAGCTTCCTATCTGTATGTCCTATCTCTTCCAATTCTCTTTGCATTTTTTTCAGTAATTTTAATTATATATCATGTATTTTATCAGGCACGAGTCCACCAGGAACATATAATCCACTAGAAGTTCTGCCAACCCGACTTGGTTTGTCCATGAGAACTGCAGATAATACAAGTGGAATCCCATGTATGAATGCAACTAGCAACACGCACTTGGGGCCGGGGCCCAGTAGCAGCAGTGGCACAGAAGAAAGACATGCTTCAACTACTGCAACTGCTGTGAAACCACAGTCCCAGCCAGGTCCTAGTAAACCTGTTTCTGAGGATGTCAACACAAGCAAAGAACAGCTTCCATTTCATGGGTATACATTTAGAATTTTTATTATGCCATTTTCTTCCTCTGTTGTGCCTGAAATCTTTTAAATTATCATACAGTCTGGTTTCAGTATCTTCTGTGTAATGCTTCATCAAGCAGTACATTAAAAATGTCCATCTTCAGACAAAAGGAGGCCTAAACTGAGCTGGAAACTGTTAACCTCAATCACTGGATCATTGACTGTTGAGACCTGATCTGATGGATATGTTAGAAAAAGCTAGTCTCAAGCAGTGGACCCAGTTATCACTCTTTTGCTTGAAGGTGGAATTTCTTTGCGTATTCCTGTTGTTTGGGAGTGATTCCTTCCATACGCTTCATTGTTGATTTCAGGTACTCATAGGAAAGAAACTTCCAATAACTTTTCAATATTCAGTGGCTTCTTATATTTTACTATATTTTAATTTTTCTGTCATGTTGTATAGTTGCTCTAAATTGTTATGAATTTTTTGATATGATCACCAGGGCTTTGAGATAAAAACTGATGCATGAGGTCATAAAGTGAAACACTTTTGGTGAGGTCTGTATAGTATTGAAGCTGTGCTACATCATATGGTCAGAAGGTAGATCTAAGCTTTTTAGAATAGCCATGGAAGTACAAAGGATAAATGGGAAGCAGGAGAACTTTATAAGAACCAAGTAACATCAAAATTGTAGTGATTGTGGCATGTGGTATTTATGTTGTGCCCACTCAGCCTTGTGAGAATAATTGAGGAGTTATTTCAAGGGAATAGCAGCTCTGGTCTAGAAAACCGGGATTAATGGCCATGAGGATTCGTTGTGCTGACCACGCGACACCCTCTATCTGCTAAAGTTGGCACTAACTTCGTCGACAAGCGGCGGCTGCTTGTTTGGAATGGTTGGCTTGCAGACTCAAGCCACGGAGTTCTCATGCATTCCACATTATCAGACTGTCGTAAGCTCTGGGGGTGGCATCTGCATTCAGAGCTGCAACTAAAGCAGTCACATTTTTGTTCACATCCACAGATTCCATTGCATGAAAATGCTTGTGCTGTTTTGGCCACTAGTCTCTTATCAAGGGAGAAAAACACAGATTGAAAGTGTTTTTGAATGAACTGCAGAGGAGAATATTTGAACCTAAGAGAAAGAATGTCACAGTAGGAAGGAGAAAATCACACATTAAAGAGCTCCATAATTTGTACTCTGCACCAGATATTAGGATGATGAAATCAAGGAGGATTAGACAAGTGGGACATGTAGTATGCATGTTAGAGATGAAACATACTTATAGTCTGAAAATCTCAAAGGAATAAGCCTAGTGAGAGTCAGGAAGATAATATTAAAATATGTAAGATTTGAGGCTTTCACGGCGGTGACTATGAAGAAAGCAGTCTTCTGGGATTTGGCACCGTGTATAAGTGGTGTTAACCGACGTTTCGGAGGAACGTATCGCCTCCATCTTCAAGGTAGAAGAAAGTATAAGAAATCTGCAAGCGACAAGACCGTGAGAACGNCAGAAGACTGCTTTCTTCAATATTAAAATAGTTTTAAAGAAACAGGCTCTGAGGTTGTGGACTATAGGGTCCAGTGAACTGGTAATGAATTATAGTTTCTCTAAAGATGGGGATTTTCATGATTTATTGAACTACCATCAGTTTCTCAAGGACTCTTCTCCATGGAATTAGTGTGACATCATCTGTTATTTCTTAACAACAAGTAATAGGAACTTTTCTATTACTCTTAAATCTACAATATTGCCACATAGTTAAAAAAAGTTTATACCAAGGACATTTTAGTTCATTGTCACATATATTTATGTATGTCTATAGACAGCGTGCCAGTCACTGTGGTTGCACTGTCTAAGGCATGAGATGTCTTTGCCTGCTCAAACGTTGGGATTGTGGGTTCAAATTCCACTCGAAGTGTTAATATCTGTGTGTGTTTATTCTGTGTTTGTGTTGTCCAGTGTAAGTAGTGGCCTTGCAGTGGGTTGATCCCCTGCCCAAAGAGTCCTACCAATTGTCTGTAAGATGAAGAAACTGAAGTGTAATGAAACCTTTTCACAGATGCCCTGCAACAGGAAATAACAATAACAACAACAACAACAACAACAACAACAATAATAATAATAATAATAATAATAGACGGTGTGAAAATAATTGTGGCATTTTAGTAGCATTTTTCCTCCCTCAACAGGACAACTTTTGATGCTTTTGATCACCTCTTTCGCGAGATAGAGGAAGAAGAAACAGTGCAAATGAAGTTGAATGATCCAAGTCCAGATGGTAACATGAGTGCTGCACCTCTAACACCAGCAACAGAGGAAGGCCCACAGGATCTATCATTTAGCAAGGAGCCACCACCACCACCGCCACCGCCGCCGCCACCTCCCCCACCACCACCACCGCCACCACCCCCACCGTCATCAGCTAGTTCAGCACCTGTTAGCAAAATGGAAGTTGACAGCGGGGACTTAGAAGATTTTATTTCAGGTTCTGATTCAGGTAATCCATTTGCTCGTTTGACTGCAGATGGAAAACCTCAATCATTTAATGAAAGGAAAAAGTCACAGGCAGAGATAAGTGTATCTGAAGGACCAGCTGACCTTAGCAAACCAGGCCCAAGTGGTATGCAAGCATCTGGAAGTGAAACTGATATTGAAAGAGCCACAGCTTTGCAGGAACTGGCTTCTGGAAGCATTGTAGCCTCTGCTGCTTCAGGTAAGCTTACCATTTATTGCTCTGTTTAATGGTTGTATAATGGTGATGAAGCGTGGAACTCTGCATTCATTTCATAAAGTTGTCCTTGTATGATGAAGTAATCCATCAAGTAAATTTGGCTTGGATGCTCCTAGCTTTCCAGATGCTCCTGGTTTGAATCATGACCAGATTACCTGCCATAACTACCATGTTTTTCAGTTTTCCAATACCTGGAATAGTACAGTGGCATATAGACCCGTTGCTAGGCAATGTCCGCGAAACAGGTGCAATAACAGCCATTGCTAGGCAGCAGCCCACGCTCAACATTGGAAGTACTGTTGGAAGCACTTTTTTTATATGATCCACTCCAAGGCTATATCACACAACTATCCAAGTTCAGTTCAGTTAGTGAATGCAGTGCAGTTGAGTACAGCATAGTGAAATGAGTTGGTTTGTGAGCAGTCAGAGAACTGCTGCTGTTGAGTCCTTGTGAGCTGTTGTTAGAAGCTAGTAGCTGAGGCATGGGAATAGCTCAGGAACCCAGAGGAAAGGGAATTCCCACTGTTGGAAGCCACTGCCAAGCAATGGCTGTGAAGACATGACTGTGGTTACTAGTGTGTATGTAACAGTGAACTGTGAAGCATAGTCACACTATGTATCAGAGTGTGCAATAAATTGTAACTAATCCAAACCCCATCAGTAGTCACTCATACACAAGACAGTATCTTAATCTTGTACTGACAGGGTATGTAAATCTCTCCATGTTGTTGCATCCTGTTATGTCACAGTGTGGTTCTTTTGGCCATCAATGCAACAAATTTTAAAACAAACCAAATCAATATTACTGTACTAAAAGTGGTTTTATTTAGCGTCTGCTACATGCTTCAGTCTATGTTTAGATCATCATCAGACGGTTTCTTAATTACATGTTTGTTGTTTTCCATATCTTGTCATAACACTTGTTGGTATTTTTTATATTATATTTAACCCTTAGAGCCAAAATTGTTTATAGATTTATATTTGTGTCTCGATACAATGTTGGTTTCCATGATGCTTGTTGTGTATTAAAGTGTGTTGATGTCTTATGGGATTCTTTGTTATTGTTTGGTTTATCTGAAAGTAAATTAGCATGTACGATTATAACCTGAATTAACAGTAATAGATGCAGTGGAACCTCGCTTAACGAGCATAATTCGTTCCAGGATCTTACTCGTAATTCGAAACATTTGTTAAGTGAAACAGTTTTTCCCATATAAATTAATGTAAAATATAATAATGAGTCTCATGCTGAAAAAATACTCAAAAAAATTTATGTATAACGTTCATTCAAAGAAAATTATATATACATTGTTAAGGAGCGTGAATCATCTTCATCTTGTCTTCTATGCTGAATGAACCAACCTGGAATGTGAATTCGATTTGCAGAAAACAAAAAGAAAATCGAAATAATTAGTTTATTATTTATGATACATATCTAATTCTTTTCTACTAGAAGGCTGTCTAGAGACATTTGTTTTTGTTGATGCTTATAATTTGGTGAAAATGCGACACTGCATTATCATTAAATAAATTTGTAGTGCGCATAGCCACTGCCTTATTAGGGTGATGCTTCTCAATGTACGAAGCAACAGTTTCCCATGCTTTCAGCATTTCTCTTATTGCACCAGAAGATTGTTGCTTTGCTGTTACCTCCTCCTCCTCTGACAAACTCTGCTCCATAACTTCTTGCTGTGAAACACAATGCAACTCCAAATCGTGCAAACCGTTGATGTAGACCGACTGTATGTGCGTGCTAGATCAGCCACGCTCACACCTCGTTCTCACTTTTCAATGATTTTACGTTTCATTTCTACGGTTATTTTTATTCTCTTATGGCTGTCTTTTTTGCGACTTTTTCTTCGGGGACATTTTTGCAAGGGTTATTAAACTTTGCACAAAAAAAATCACAAATAATATGTCTGAACACGAGTTTGGAAAAATGTGTGATCACAAGCGACACTAAGATACTAAGATGCTAGCGGAACGAGTGCTAAACACAGACTGATGTAGCAAGCTCACAATCCGGGACTTCCCCTCTCGTCACTCATTATGCGAAACATCGCTCATTAAGCGAGTCATTTTTTACAATTTGTTTTGCTCGTTATGTGAATTACTCGTTATGAGAGGTGCTTGTTAAGCGAGGTTCCACTGTACTTATATTGTGTGGTGTGGGTGATTACTTACATGTTATGTAATGATTACTTGCATACGATTGTTGTTGCTAGTTCCATATGTATTTCTTCCTTATTTTCTTATGTAGTATCATGTTGAAGTTATACAGTAATGAGGGTGGGTAATTTATTCTTATCTATGAGGCTGAATTTGTTAAGATTTATATATGTATAGCATCAAAATGTTAACATTTTTTGTATTCAGTTATTGGCTACTTCTAAATAACACTGGAAAAGCATGCACAGAACAAGAATTTGGTGTTTTTGCTGGAGGGATCTAAAGAGACCTGAAAATTTCTCCCAGAGGATATATTAAATTCCTGAAGATTTTAATGATCAGTGATATTCAGTGAAAGCTGGTTGCAGGGAGATTGAAAGTCGAGAAGATTGGTAGGTTACGTGAGTGTTACAGGCATGGATGAGGTTAGAGCAGTTAGATGGTTATTACTGTAGTAGCAAAAGTATGAATGTAGTAACAGTTGGTATTTGCAAGATGACAGCGAGTGCATGTTACATGAATCTTCAGACATATGAGTTGTGTTAAGAAATATTAATTGCAATGAACTTCAATGCTGAAAAATATCACTGTCATTGTCTATTGATTAATGTTAACTTTGGAAGGTCATTTTTTGCAACTGAAAGGCAACATTGGAAGTTTCACATGACTGCGCAACATTTACAACAGGTTTTAGCACATCTGATATTTTAGAAATTAAGTTTGGTGGGCAACATTGTAATAATAGCTTTCACTTTTTCTAGTAGATACATCCTTGTCTGAAGAGAATCGGAAATTGATGGAGCAAAACAGAGCCCCAATCATTGTTTCTGCTCGGAAAGTGGCAGCTGCACTCGCTAATGCCATTGCTTGTTTTGGAGAGCAGAACCCTTCAGCTACAACTTCATCAACAGCTGTATCAACACCTCCAGTCAAAAGTGTAATAGTTCGTGCTGGTCCTGGGCCAACTACTTCGAGTGTAAGACAGAACTTATTAATTGCAAAATCCATGCATGAATCTCGCCTTCAGTGGAATACTATGCTTGTATAATATTTGTATTATTGTACCATCATCATGAACATCTTATTTAGTAATATAATGTCATTATTTACAGGCAGAAATAGTCATGTACATTAACAACCATTACATAATACTTTACATAGTATACATATACTAATAATACATAATAATAATAATAATAATAATAATACATAGTACTTTAAAGTTAAGTCGCGTCTGTCTGCCCATATCTGTCTGTGAAATCTCAATTTGTAGAGTCTTTATAGTGAGTTATATTATTATGAAATCTGTTAACTGAAGCTTGTTAACAAAAATTATTTAAGGCTATACCATCACATTTGAAATTCCACTTTTCTTGAAGGACTGAATTAACTCAATATTCTGAGCAATATTAATATATTGACTTGCTAAAAAATATTATTTCCATGAATATTATGTTGGATTTTGTCCATTATCTCAAGTATATACATTGTTATAGAACCAAGATCTGTTTCTGGCATCAGCTGACCCCTCCAAAAGAGCTAGCCACACATCCATTGATTAAGAACACCTGTTCCTTATGGTTCCAGCTGAGTATGGTCCTTTCTCCTCTTACACCTGATTACAGAAGTGGATACAGTTTCTGAAACACTGTGTGTTTCAAATATACCTAAGACTGTGGACAATATCCACCACAAAATTTGTAGAATGAATCAACCATTGTCACATATCTTTAGAGGAGCATAAAGAATATTAAATATTAAAGATGGGACTTCATGAAATTATATATTTATATTATATACATGTTCTTGCACATAATTTGCCACTCTGAAATTAAACATCTGAACTCTCTCTTGCCTTTTTATAGCAGCTTTGACACTAAGTGAAGGGTTAGGGGAAGACAGATTTGCATTTCAGCTGTCCCTCATTTTCATCTTCTCCTACATTTATGCTTTTCCTCCACCTTAATTTTATAATTCACTTGGATAAGCAGTCTTTATCTGGGTCATCCCTTTGGCCTTTTGTCTTTCACTTGTACTCTCAGAGCTTACTTAGATATTCTGTTTATTTTTGTTCCTTTAACATGTCCAAACAACTGTAAGCTCCTCCCTGATGATTTGAAATAGAGTTTGAGCTCCATGCCAACCATAGGAACAGGGAGGGTGACTTCTGCTAAAGCAAATCACAGAATTCCTCTCATATACCATACTTTTGAAAGAATGTAAGAGGCCTTTCCTTTGGCAGACCTTCCCTTTCCTCTGGGTTCCTGAACTATCCCTGTCCTCAGCTGCAGCAACTCTCAGCTAACTAACTAATTGAAAGCTAAACTGTCTAGACTTGTCCTGCTTATAACATCTTGGCACGGACTGCATAGAAAACATCTCTTCCTATTATTGTTGTATTCAATTGTTGCCATAGAAACATGCTTGTTTGCAGAGCCATTACTTAGTAACAGCTATTGTATATTTGCTTATTTTGTGGTCATTGCCTAGCAGCAGGTCTACATGCCACAATATTATACATCAATGTTTATTATTCGATGCTATGTATCCTTAGTCCTTGTACATAACTGTAAGCCTGTTCTCAGCTGTTGCTATTTTCAACTTCTTATATTTAAGCATTGAGTTAGTACTGCAAGACTTAAGTGAAATTCTATGTTCTGTTTTATTATCAAAATATCCATCAATAATACAACAATTTAAAAGACGTTAGGAATAAGTTTCACACTAACAACGTATTTCAGCACTTTTTAATGTTGTTAAAATCATTACATGCCAGTAGGACATTAAAAGCACATTCTATACATTAAAAGTGATTATCCAATTTTCTAAAATGTCTTTAGTCATATATTTGTTATAATTTTCGACATGTTTTGGCCACATGGGCCACCATCAGATAATTTCCCTTTTTGAGGAGACCACTGCACTGTATACTTGTTCACTGTGCTTCCATGCACGTCAATGTTTGGCACTACATCATAATCAGAATGCTGTCACATTATTGACAGATACTTTGATAATAAAGGATGATGCCTCAATGCAACGGGATGCTAAAATATAATACTATGTTCTGTTGCTTGAAAATAATAATAAAGTCATTTTGTTCACAACAGGCCCCTTCTCACCGCACTGATGCGCCTGACGTTTTGGTTGTCCCAACAACTGACTCGAGGCAGCATGGTGATGGGCATGGACTTGACAGCATAGGTGGAAGTCATGAGATCTCTGCCCATGTCACTGTTGAGACAAGTCGGCCACATGATCAGCCAAGGTAAAGTAATTCATGCTACACTAAATTCTCATTTACCTGCAGTTTTGGAAAGGAAAAGTAGCACAAATATTTTAAGATTACGTTTATGGGAAATGTTATATAAAACGAGGGGGTATTTCTTCTGACACTTCCATTGTAACGAGTGATTCCTAGCCACCCACAACTTCATAACACATCTCTTTAACGGACCTCAATTGCGGATTTGTTTATAGCTGGCCGTCCATAGAGTTATGGCTAAACCACACCGTATGCCTCTTCCTTGTTTGGGACAGAAAAGCATGCATTCCAGAATCTGATGACTTTGCTCAATAATCCATTTTGTTCCATTATATAAAAAATTGTACAGCTGATGTGAATGTGTATTGGACATGAAGTGATTCATTTTTATGTACAGCTTCTTTATTTTGTCAAAACAGTTTTTATTCTGATAAAACATTTAGCAAGTTAATGTGATTTTTTCATGAAATGCACACAGAAATGCTTTTTGATAGTGTCCATTATCATTGTCAGATTTTAACAAATTTAAATATATTGACACATTTTAGTAGAATCCCCAATATCAGATTTCTTGAAAATCTGTTAGTGGTTCTTGATTTCTTACATGCAGACATGTAGAGGAATATGATGGAACTAAGATGGACATTTTCACAAGTTTTTGTTGCAGCCATGCCAAAAACAATGAATATTGTGGTGCTCTTATCTCTTAAATCTTACTGTCATATAGTAATGTACTGTCACATGTCCAGTGTTTGCATGACTAATAAGATGGGTTTTTGGATTTGATGATAGAATGTATTGGCCCAGGAACTGGTTACAACAGTTCACAAATCACTATCTGATATACTTTCATCTTTGACTGGACACTCCACTGGAACTATTCTGACTTCCAACCGAACTGTCAGTTATTGTTGGCTTCGCATTATATAGCCTCTGGTCGGACCACAGCGCAGAAAACACATCCGTTGCCTTGCAATGGATATATGCGAACCCACATAGAAAAAAACCTCTTGCAACACCTGTTATGTTGTTGGATGCGGGTGTTTCTTAGAAATGGGTCTACTCTATTGTTGGTCACTTATTTGTTGCAGGCTTGTTTACTGAGTCGCTTTCTAGCAATGGGTCTGCATGTTACAATATGTAGTGGGCTAGAGGATTATGTATTTCAACCATTCTTGGATATGATGAGAACTCAGTATAACAAGTATTTTTAGCAATTTTATAAATTATCGTACTGAGGTTGCACTCTAATTCGTATTTAGCTGCTTAGGAGGCCTGAAGCGCCACCAGTAATCTGAAGGTTGAAGCTTTAATGCATGTACACATTACATATGCATTTATTTGTGCGAGGGCTAGAAATTATAATACTGTGACAAGATACCTAGAAGGCAGAATGCTGAAGTGAGAGGAGTGTCACAAAGGACATCCACTGCTATGCAAGGACTTCTTAAAATGTGTTTGTGCAACAACAGATACACAACATTGTCTGTGTCAAAGCTGTAGAAAGAGAGCCAGATGGGAACCATTGAGCATGGAAACATTAAAGTGATTCCCCATTATTGAAAGCTGTAGTTATTTGTACTTTTAGATTATGAAGAATAATAGAACTGTTGTAATTATCTGTAGTTATCAGTCTGAATCCTGTGTTTAGATACTAAAGTGTGACAGTACCGTTGTAGAAATCATAGGTGGTCTTCTTGAAAAGGGGGCTTCCATAATTGTTATGTACTGAAAAGTGTGTGTTACAGCTGTGGTGTGAACTTTAAATTAATGGTTATGAAGCATGTAGAAGAAACCAAAAATTGTGCTGGGGCACAAAAATCTGGTGTTACCAGAGTAAATGACCAGTGCGGGAGAAAATTGTAAGAACAACTAAATTGTATCTATTTCACGTGAAAAACATTTCAAAGGCTCAAAACAAGGACAGTACAGAGACACAGAAGCCTAGTGAAATGAAAGATCTTGACAAACATTGATAAAATATATTTTTTCTGCAAATTTAAAATTCTGAGATTTTCGTCTTATATTCTGGTAAATGTAATATATAATGACCTGTGTTTGAAATTTTGGTCCAAAATTGGGTACCTTTAATTTTATGTACCAACTAGTAAAATTACATGCATGGTTGTGTGTGGGCGGGAGACTGTAGAGAGGATAACAGGGGAGTTTTGAACTGATTAAAATGTTTATAAAGTTTTTAACATTTTGAAAGGATATGGCTACAGCTGGCTGACTTATTAAAACATTAACTTAATTGATAAAATCTCAGGCTATCATTCATATTGGCTGGCTAAAAATTACCAACATTCTAAAAAAAATTGGCTGTACCAGTTGTACTTCTTTTGTAATTTATTAAGTCATCTTTAAACAAAGAATTAGGTGTGAAGGTCAGTAAGGAACACCTTTTGAAATCTTGTCCACAATTTCTGTTTCTTTTATAGTTTTCCATTACTGTTATATTTGTCTCGGGTGATGACTTAATCATGAGTGAGAGGGGCTGTTTTTCCTATTCTTAACTGTTTTCCTTCATAGGCCTCATCCTACAATTGGCCAGTCTGTATCCCACGATCTTCTGCTTGGACGATGGAGACTATCCCTTGACCTCTTTGGACGTGTGTTCATGGAAGATGTGGGACTTGAACCTGGTTCTGTTGTTTCTGAACTTGGAGGATTTGCTGTTAAGGAAGCCAAGTTCCGTCGTGAAATGGAGAAACTACGTAATGCCCAGCAAAGGGATCTGTCACTGGCAAAGGTAATGTTATAACCCTTTTCTGCAAGCTGTGATTTGCAAGCAGTTTCTGAAGTGAACTTCAGACGTGATACATTAATATCTTCTAATGAATTAGGGTGGACAAGTTGTCTCTGTTATGTTATACAGCTTTTCTTTAATCTAGCCAGCTAAGTAAATGCCTTTAAAATAGTTGAGTAATTTGTTGTTGCGGTTTATCATTCAGAATGAAATAAAATATGTAGAACATTGAAAACTTTTCTGAGTTTACAAATTTTATTAAAACTCCTCAGCATCAAATTTCATTGAATTCATCCACCTATTCTCAAGCTTCACATGCAATGATGGACAAAGATTGCTTTTTTTAGTTTTAAAATTACAACATATAATTAAAGGTATAGAGTTTTCTAAAGTCGACTGCATATACCATGAAAGCCCTGCTTATTGATACTGGGTTTAAGGTGTTCCCTCATCTAATGTTCTGTTTTAATGGTCCCAAAACAATAATCTCAGTGTTAAATTATTTCTATTTAAGATTTTCACCAGTGTAATGTTCAAAGCCACTGATCCCCAGAGAGCCTTTAAATGAGGTTTCCACTGTAAGTCTATGAGAAAACAGAACTGATATAAATGTTGCCGGATTGAAAAAAATTGAAGTGAATATAGTTAAGAATTATGTATCTAATTATGACAGTTGGTACTGAACTGTACTCCTCCATATTCAGAATGTGGAATAATAGAAAATTGTTACATAAAACAGCAGAGGCTATTTGGAGCAAACAGAATAATTTCATCACCTGTAAAATGTTGCAGGTTGAAAGAGAAAGAACTCAGTTGATAATACAGACAATGAAGGAGTTGAATACACAGTACAACAACTACCACCGTAGAGCTTCAAGTTCACAGCCCCCACTAGCTGTCAATCGAGTCAAAGTGACGTTTAAGGATGAACCTGGTGAAGGCTCGGGTGTTGCTCGAAGCTTCTATACTGCTGTAGCTGAGGTGAGTTTGTATGAATAAATTACCATTTATTGTTCCTATCCTGAATTAAGCACTCACCTTGAAGGAGTGTTGGAGGGCAGAAGTGTAGCTTCAAGCAATTATAACCTCAACACAAGGTAGAGCTGAGAAGTTAGTTGTATGGTCTAAGTGCCAAACAGCAGCGTAGTGTTTATTTATATGCAGATTGGCAAACTGTTATATAAATATACATCATGAATTTTTAAATTAAAAGTATCTTGCTACAAATCATGCCCCAACACATAATCATATTAACTTCCACTTTTGGTATTATTTGTCTGTGTATGTGCCTTAGTAATTTCTGACTTTGAAGCTGAGACACAAGCTTTGCTTTTATCGCCATTGGACTGCATTTCCTTGAAAACATTTTTATAAGAATGTCTCTCATTACCAGAAAACAAAGAATCTACACAAGCACAAATCCTCACTGTTATGACTAAATTTACATGCATCATAAGATATTAATATTCCTGTGAGAAAAGGGGTGGCACACACAAGTGCTACTTTTGCAAATAAAGGTAACTAGAGGTTGGTAGATGGTGATGGAACATCCAAGGCCAGCCCTACACGGTGGCAAAAGGTGCAGCCACACCAGACCACATGCGTCTGTGAAGAATAAGAGGAGTATGTTTTGAATATTTTCCTTATTTCCTGTGATTTATCACCTTCGCCTCCAGTAGAAAATATTCCCAAAAGCTCCTTTTACATAGATGGTTTTCAATATTTTGACAAAGGCTTTTATTTTCCCTCCCTCCTTTCCCACCTCTAATCACTCAGTAAAAGAGAATCCTTTGTTGCCAATCCTGCTAATTTGACTTGTAAAGAATAGAATTCAGCATCTAAGCTTTGCTGCCAGAAGTATATTTATGCAAGTCTAAAAATTGTGCCGTAGTACTTACTCATTGCAATAGAGATTCTGAAAAATTTCCCCTCAGTAAAACCAAAGAATATTGCTGTACTTAACATAATTAAAATGGTGATGCATAAAGTCAAAACAATGCATTATTGGTTGTACTTACTAAATTAAACAACCATTGTGTACTTATCATCATACCTGCACAGGGTTAAGCTTAATTGTCTGTTCCTAAACCCTATGCCTGTTGATGGTTCCTCCATTTGTTTCTTTGGTTCACAACTTTCTCCTGACCCCAGTGTATTGCAGCCAGTTATTTTGATAGTCTTAAATATTAATGATAATCTTGTATAGGTTAGTAACTAGACAAGGGGTAAGATTGTCACTTGAATTTATTGGATACCAATAACTACATATATGACACTTTTGTTATTCTTCACATATCCATTCCTTGCTAACAGTCTCCAGTAACCAGGACTCTCCCCAGTACCTCCATGCTCAATGGCTTCACTTTTGTCTACTCCTTGTTATGGTCAGTTGGTCAGGTAAATTGCTGCTGGCTTTGCCAGCACAGTTGTTCTTGGTTCCGAGTCCACCGGGACTCATGACCCTATTTTATTGTCTCATGACTTCTCCAATTTTGGGTCTCACTGACGCTCTTTATATGGCTTGCAGGTGAACTAGTTTTTGTATGCATATTTGTTACCCCAGAAACATGTTTTAATGAGCCATTATGTGACTCCATTATTCTCACTGTATGCAACATATCACATTGTCACATGTATAAGTGACTATAGACAGGGTTTGGATTGGTGGCTCAATTTATTGATCACTTTAATATACAACTCATGACTACACTTTACAGTTCACTGTACAGCTCTCTCTCTCTCGCTTTCTCTCACACACACACACAAAGTGTTCTCAGTCTATGACGGTCTCCAATAGCCATTGCCATGGAGATCCTTCATCTTCCATGGTCATGGTTTTACCGTCTAGTGAATATCCCACAACTAGGCTTGTCAGATGTCAGCTCAACTGTAGCGCCACCTCTTTTCAACATCCCTTGCAGAGCTCAACTCAGCTGCCAACCCTTGACAGAACTCTCTCTCTCTCTCCAACTAACTACTTCACGTCACTTCATTCAACTGAACTGCCTCTCAGCCAGACTGGGGTCCTTGCTGTATAGCCTTGGGGCAGACCCAGCAGAAAAAACAGACTCCAGCAACCCTCTATTGTTGTGGGTGGTTGCCTAACAATAGTTTGGATATTGTTGACATGTTTACTGGCTGTTATGAAGGAATGCATGTTCCATCTCATGATCATTGCATAGCAATGGTACTACGTGCTACACTATTTTAAACACTGTTGTCATCCCCTTATTTCATTTGCTAGTAATTGTATGTAAATTGTATGTAAAGGTCATAGAAATCTCATTATGCTGCATCCAGTTTTTTTGGTGTTCCTTTCCTAGTTCATAGAGCATGTGTTTGCTATAATATAAGGGAGATGTGTAGTGAATGACATGCACATGGTACCCTAAACATGTATATATGCATGTTAATTGCCTCCTGAATCACATAAAAAAGAAAAATTCTCACATTATCATAAGGGTGCCTGGTTCATGTAAGAAACTGGAAATGGATTCAACATTATCTTTAAAATTGAGCATTTTTTAAAATTTTTATTTGGTTTATTAACATTTTTAATATGTAGATACTGCATTTCTATCATTTGTTTCATTTGTTTTAAATAAATTACATTACGCGCATATTTTTTTTCTTGCCTTTTAATACTATAAATTTTCTTTATAGGCACTGTTAGCCAATGAGAAGCTACCAAATCTGGAAGCAGCTCAAGTGGGCACCAAGTATGCTCCATACAATGTTCTGCAAAGATTAAGAACACGTGAGAGGGAGACTATGCGTCGGCATGCTCAGGTAATTAAGTTGCTCGTTTGCTGTGTTACAGATCTTTTATAATTTATAGACATGAAAGCTCACAGGTTCTGTTAAGAACATGTGCAAGTCTGCAGTTAAAGTGTTATCAGGAATATGTCACATTTAGCATAGTTATGTCTCACATGAATAGTAGTTTTACATAATGTGTTACACAATCTCAAAGAGTTCTAAACTAAATTCTGTCTCCATGTTCTTCACTTGCTTATACAGTGTTTCCCTTTTCCCCACCTTCCCCCCACAGTACTTAAGATTGATTCAAATATATGTGTGAACTACTGAGATGAATATTTGGCTTTGCAAGTTTTGTAATGTCTTCAGGCCCAGCGTTCATCTCAGCGTTGTCGAGAACCACGTCGTTCCTTATCCTATGATGCCCGCCCCTTCTCTCCCCCTGGTGCTGAAAACAGTAACAGCACTTCAGGTAGTGGCAGTGGAGGCACGGGTCACAATGAGCATCTTACATTACACCAGCAACAGCTTGGAGATCGGCTGTATCCAAAAGTGCAGCTTCTGCGCCCAACGTTTGCTAGCAAAATCACTGGCATGCTCCTTGAACTGACCCCAGCACAGCTTCTGATGCTCCTTGCATCAGAAGATGCTCTCAGGCAAAAGGTTGAAGAAGCAATGGAGCTTATACTGAGCCATGGACAAGAGCTTGCATCAGAGGCGCTGCTAGGTAAACATGTATATCCTATGATTATTATTAATAATAATTCAACCAGTTAATTTCTTATTTATTTACATGCTAATTTACAACCAAAAGGCAAATTACAAAGGTAGCACGAATAAAGGAAAGAATCAAAACTCAGGTGAACAATAATTTAGTTCAGCTCCTTTATTTAAGTGCTTGCCAACAGTCGGTGGCTAATAATAGGCAAGCACGGATGGTATACATAAAAAACTAGACTAAAATTTAACAGTAAGGAGTAAAACAATATAGGTAACACGGTAATGATGTAACTCAGTAGGATTAAGCAAAGGAAAATGTATCCTCAAGGGAGATATGTTTATTGAAAACGTTCAGAGATTTGCAGATGTTGTTTGCAGCTATGATGATGTATCACAGAGATCCGTTACTAGGTAACGGCCATGAAACAGCACCTGTTGCTAGGCTGCAGATTCCTAATAATGTAGCTTGCAGATTTCTTATAGGTACTAGTTAATATGAAATCAGTGCTGAAACAAAGAGACTGTTTGTGCATAAATAAATAAATATTCACATAATATCAAATTAATTTCAAAAGTAAGTAATGTTAGATGAAATAAAGTGTGAATCGACCCCAGTTGACAGTGTGACTATGAGGCTACTAGTGATGTGGCTCCACGGTTTTCAGTATGTGATGTCTGTCACTTGTCAAAGACTGTGTTCATGTATTATCAATTTTTAGTGGAGAGAAAACTGAACAAGGTTCTATCAGAAAGTTCCCAGACTGTTATTGTTTTAACTGCTTCTGTGAAAGAAAATGAGATGGGAGGCCAGGGTTACACTTCAGCAAGCCTATAGCTTCAGTCTACCACATGACACCATGCTGTGAACACACATTGTTTTTACACGAGTGCTTTTTCGACTTCGTGTTTTGTTTTGTCTGCTATGGATGGCAAAAATCAACCAACATGTCTGCATCAAGTTTTGTGTGAAGCTCGGTAAATCTGTACCAAAACTCTTGAAATTCTTTGTGAGGCTTTTAGAAAACTTTCTTCAAGCCAGATGACAGTTCTTGAATGGCACTCGCGTTTAAAGGCCAGTTGAGTATCAGTTGAAGACGACAAACATTCAGGGTGACCAAACTCCAGCATAACAACAGAAAATGTTGAAAAAATATGAGAACTCATCCACAAAGGCTATCACCAAACAATCCCATGAGCTCACAGAACTGTTTGGATCAGTTATAGAGTTTGCCAGGAGATCTTAACAGAAAATTCAAACATGTGCTGCACTGCCATGAAGTTTGTTGCCCGACTCTTGACAAATGATCAAAAGCAGCTGTGCATAAACATGTCCCTAATGAGGACCCGACTTTTACTCATATCTCTAGTATCATAACACGTGATGAAAGTTGGATTTATGGTTAAGATCCAGAAACAGGGCAACAATCATGGCAGTGGAAGAGTTCACAATCACCAAGAGCAAAAAAGGCATGGCAGGTCTGAAGTTCAGCAGAGAGCATTCTCATTGTTTTTTTATACATGAAGGGGGTTGTTCACCATGAATTTGTTCCTCCTAATATTATGGTCAATTGTGACATTTTCTATGACGTTTTGAAAGGCTTGAGAGAAAATGTTTGACAGAAAGGATGGAACTTTGGCACAACCACAACTGGCTCCATGACGACCACATGCCTGCCCACACATCCCTGAAAACCACAGAGTTTGTGACTAACAATAACATGGTTATTGTTCCCCATCCTCCCTACTCGCCAGACTTAGCCCCTGTGTGATTAGCTTCGTTTCCCAAATTGAAAATGAAACTGAAGGCACAACATTTTGAAACAGTGTCTGACGTGTAAAGGGAGTCACAAGAAACATTTGACAGCATTAAGGACAATGACTTCCATGGTGCTTTTGAAGCATGGAAAAAACGATGGGATTACTATATATGTTCCCAAGGAGACTATTTTGAAGAAGATGGCAGCCAAAATTGAGTAAGTTAAGCCAGCATTTTTTTTTACCTATTCCGGGAACTTTCCTATAGTGGTTGCATTAAACTGATGTACAAGATCTGGAAGGTCAATGTTTTGCGCTAGATTGGTTTTTTATATTAATTTAGGAAATCTGGGGAAGTAATACATTGTCAATGTTTGAACGTGAAATTGTGATTTTACTGTAAATTATGTGACAGTCATGGGCAACCACATGGAAGCAGATAGCTATGCAGATGCTAATGGTTGCCAGGTATGGCAAAAGAAACTAATAATTCCTTCAACATCAAGAAAATGCAGTGTGTGGGACCAAGCTGATGGAAGATCACAAAGAATGCTTACAGTATCAGAGGACTAACAGAAGATTATTTCACATGGTTGTTTGAGGCCACGCAAATAACTGAATATGATATCCTGCATATGCTTCTGTTTTTATGTCTAATCAGAGTTCACAGTGTACTGCAGCTCATAAATTGTTTGTCTGTTTCAGATCTAGATGTGTTCAGCCTATCAGAAAGAGGGAAGAAGTCTGGGAGTGGAGCATCAAGAAGTTCAGAAACTGAAGAACCAACAGAGGATAATGAAGACAACTCACCCTTGTTCTATAGTCCTGGAAAGAGAGGGTTCTATTCCCCTCGTCAGGGAAAGGCCAGCTTTGAGAGGATGAATGCATTCCGGAATGTTGGGAGGTATTTAATCTACCATGACACATTTAAAATTAGCTTTAATTCAGGCAGGTATATGTGGTGTGATCAGAAAATTTCTATACAGGCTGCAGCATGACACTACCATAGCTGGTACAGTGTCCGTGCTAGATGATTGTAGAACACAGTCCACTTAATAGTTTGCCATTTTAGAACTAAGACATATTCAGAAGTGATGAATCATAATGTACAGTTATGTGCTGTATAATCTGTGATTTTGTTTTAAAAAATGAAAGTCTTCAAAGAAGAGCATCAGGTTGTTTAAAAAAATAGGAAAAACTATAGATATTTATATGTTCTGATATCTTTTTGGAGAAGAAACAGCAGAACTCAGAACATGTGATTGGTTTTCAGACTTGAAAAGTGAAATGACCTCTGATCAAAACACTGCATGTCTGGGACATTTCTCTTTAATTCAGTGCATCAGGAGGAATGAACTGTGAATCACAGTTTCCATGTAGATGTTCTGTGCCACCTGTCAGAAAGTATGCAATGAAAACATACTTAAAAATGGCACATAGCAATTGGGTTCTCTGATATGACAGTAATGCTGCTTATTTTGTATTGTCTGTGCAGGATTTTCCATTCGGGAAATGACGTCATTGTTGTCCTTCACAGTATCCGGATCAAGTCACATGTGACTCTTGTGTGTTTCTTAGACTCAGTTTATTGCAGTAGTGGAAAGAGGTTTTATGATGTGTTCATAGTAAAACTGCAGAATTTAAAACATAGTATTCTCCATATATGCTTTCACCAATGCCAGAATAATTAGGTTCGCTGAATCAGGTAGCAATGAAAGTACTTGGAAGGAGATAGCATGAAATAGTCATTAAACAAAAGGAGAAAAAAGGTCCAGAATTGTTCCTGTCACAGCTTGTATTTAGAGTCCCTGAGTTTGAAAGCCACTCCACAGATGTGACTATTGCCCACGAAAGCACACAGTATTTTCCTTATAAGACACGTGCTAATACATTATCCATAAGTATACTTTCATAATACTTGACTGTAGTTCAGAATTGAGAAACTGAAATATGTTCCCTGGCTGTGTGTGTCCAGAAATGCAGATATTCCAGGCGTACAGAGACAGTGAACAGAACAAGGTGATACTTCTGTAATTTATAGATGGTAAATGTTTGTTTGCCATTCTACTTCCCTACATAGTATAGTGTTAAATTGAAACGGTATTTCTTGAGCTGTTTTGTCCCTAAAGTAACGGTGAAGCTCCAAACCAAATCCAAAAGTAGCGAAGTATAAAAATGACATAGAACAGAGTGATTTGAATAAGGTATACAAAACCAGATGGAATTACAGTAACCTACCAGGAATTATTCAGATTCGTATATATGCATTCCTTAATGCAAATTCCCCAAGCATTGGTAGTGTAATGTTGGTTGTTTACGTTCGCGTGTGTGAGGATGGTAATTCACACGCGAACTCAGGATGTTAGGAGTTTGTCGCTAAGTCGAAAGACTTAGAAGGTAACGTTTTATTTTGCTGCCACCACTTGATGATACTGCATCAAGACAGGTACGATGTTGTTGTACTGCTCCGTCAGGTGAGATGCACTGGCCAGGTGCGATGTTGAACTCTGCCTGTTGAGCTTGTAGCTGGTTGTGAACCGAAGCGTTGGGCGTGTGGATAAGCGAGATCTCCTTGAAGATTCGAATGTGTGAAATAAGGTAGACAACATGAACTTGTGAGGTGAAACCAAACACTTTACTTGTTCAAGACATGAAATAAGTATAGACAAGAATCAAACCCCTGACTCTTACGAGAGCAGTGTGCTCTCACGCGCACAGTGCGTGCGGCACTATCTTAATGCTGATTACATCTTACATCCCCTAATAGTTACCATGCCAGCCCTTATATAGTAGTGTCTTCGGGCGTGGCAAAATCATGTGACATTATAGCGTCTATCTCCTTATAAGGAGAGCTTCGGGCCTGGATGGCCCCTGGATATTGCAGCCTTTTCTCAGAACCATAACGTCATCCTCAGTGCCGTGTGCAGTCGAGATGACTTCATTTTCAAGTTGCGAAATATCTGTTTATATTAGGCTTAATTTCAGTTCTATGCTATGTGTCTAGGGTATCTCACAGTATTATATGCCAAATTAATGTGAGAAAACATCATTAAATCTTACAAAATACAACATGTGGTGACGTCACATGACATACCAGCGTTACCACATTACAGTAGTAATGGAGTTTAATTCTCATGGAAAGTTCAACTTTTAATATTATGTTTGTATTGTTTATATGAAATTTATCAGAGAAATCTATTTTCACGTGGATATGTTGTGACCCGGGTTCCAGTCCCGGCGCTGCCAGATTTTCTGAGAAGTAGTGGGTCAGGAACGGGGTCCACTCAGCCTCATGAGAATAACTGAGGAGCTATTTCAAGGAAATAGCTCCGGTCAAGAAAACCGAAATTAACCTTTAAACGACTAAAGACACCGTATGTCGTCGCAGATATAAAGGCAGCGGTACGAATGACGCCATGTGGTGTCGCAAAGTCCGCGCGTGCGGACGTTATTTGAAATACATTTTTAAGGTAGAAAATAATGTCCTACTTATATAATTTTTGGCCACCATCTGCATGGAGTGTCTGTCTTCCCACCTGCGTCATCTGCCGGAATGTTGCCTTCGTGTGGAATTCTCAAAAAATCCGGAAATGCAGAGTCCGATTTCGCAATTCACGCACTTTGTCCGGGCGGTCTTTCATGTCCCACGCGAAAAGCACACACGACACCTCAATTGCGAAGTATAGCAAGTCGGCCAGTGATGTGGTTTGGCCTTCTATAGTCGAGATATCTCCCATAAAACGGCAGGGGTTCGACCCCTGGCCGTTGATGGCGAGGTGGACCCCTAACAGCATGTTCCGCAAAAGAGCGAGACGAAATTCTCAGTGTGACAACAGGATGTAACTGTTCAGACCAAGGAGATGGAAAAATAGCTTATTTGTCCATTTCCAGGTTCGACAACAGATGCTATAACTGTTTGGCACAGTTTGCCCACAGCTCCACCTGAATAATTATTCACACTCCTCGTGCCACGCTGGTGTGGGGTCCCCAGGTTGCCGACGAATAGCTAGACAGAACACTTCCAGTTACGAACCAAGCACTCAGTGTAATGAAACTGTATAAAGAAATGTAATCTTAGGTGCAGCCGAGCCATTCGCCCACTCTTCATTCCACAAGAATTACGTCATGGTACGATCACACTTTGAAATTACGCTCGACTGAATGCTTCCAGGAACGAAGCTATTACGGTGTGTGTTCATACAGTAACACGATTTCATAAAACAAATGCTAGCCTTCATCTCTACAAGAACAGTACACGTATTGTTTATAAGAACTCTATATGCAACAACACGTGACTTTATATCATTCTTCCACTGTCCACATTCTAGTAGTAGCCAACGATAAGCTCTAGACTCAACATCCGGTCTTACCGTGACTTGCACAAGTGTCGTCATCAGCAACTTCCATTCAGGGGTGTCCAGAACGTATGAATTCTTGCACAGAAACAAGAAACTGCGAAAATTCTCCTTTGGTGTCAGTGCAAAAATTGTAACATGTTTTATACAATCTGTAAATTACAATATCTGATTCTATATTCTTTAGAGAAAAAAACAGCGTTTATTTCGTTCGTTTATCACAGAAATTGCAGAAATAGGAGCAAATTTAGTAAGTGACTACAGCTTTTACGGATTTCTAAGAGCGGCCCTTTAAAGAATTCCGTATGGCTGCCACAATTGGAATTTAAAGGGCCGTAGGATAATCGTTAATGACCGTGGGGATCCATTGTGCTGACCATATGACGCCCTCCATACGCATAATTTGACCATAACTTTGCTGACAAGTGGCGGTCACTCAGTCGGTATAGTTCGCTTGTGGACTACAGGCCACAGAGTTTGTTTGTTTGTTTGTTTGTTTGTTATGTTGTGGCATTGGTATGTTTGATTGCATTTAGTACTGCACATTTCAGCTCTGACATAAATTATTGTAGAAAATAATCAAGGAGAGTTTAGTGAATCATTTCTTCAGTGTATAGTTACAAATAATGTTAATCATACTCCAGTAATCATACTGTCACCATTTTGGTATCACTGGTACTGAAACTGGGATTTTGCACTCAGAAAATATCTTTTTCTGAAGGAGGAATACCAGCTACTTGAATCCTAAACAAGAGGTGCATGGTATGTTTACAGTCTTTATATTTGGACAGCATATAAAATTCTTTCATGACAGAAGTACATAAAATAGATAGCTGAATGCTGAGAAGAATGTTTGAACAAAATAGAGCCAGCATCAAGGTCATGGAGAAAACTGCATGTTTATGAACTTCACAATATGTGCACACTGAATTTTATTAGGATTCTGAAAACAACGAGTATGAAACTGGAATAATCTGTGGCAGGCATTTGGGAGACTATGGTATATTTATTTCTTCATTTATGATTTCTTTAGCAGTGCTATCAGTATCTCAGCATTTCAGGGTGTATTGTATCAGGTGATAGGTTTGAAAGTGAATAAAGGATTTGAAAAGGAAATGATAGTGATGCATTTAGAGGTATAATACCAATGTTTTCGTAGCGTGGCAGAAGAAAACATGAAAACAGTCAGGATACTTGATGCTGCAGATAAAATCCAATCTGGGCACCTCCTGAATTCAAGTCAGAAGTACTACAGCCTGAACCAAGTTGCTCGGTGACACAGGTATAAGTGGGAAGTTAATATTAAAATTGATCTTCAAGAAGTAGTTTTGAGGATGTGGACCAGATTCGTGTAGTTCAGAATCAGGTCCAGTTTCTGGTTGCTAACACAGTGATGAACTTTTGGGTTTCATAAAAGGAAGTTCCTTTACCTGATGAGCAACCATTAGTTTTACGATAAGGATTCTGCTCCATGCAGTTATTTCCGTGCTCTTGATCTAGAACCAGCTAATGGTTCTGTGTATATAGATGCAGCTTTTTGGTTTGTTATTTTAATGAAAGTTAATTTTTAGGAAGGCATTTCTTAATTTTAGAATTTTTGTCCCTATGGCTCCAAAAACAACTTACTGTACTATACAAAATCCACATGCCACTGTTCTCCCTTGTGGTTATTGTGTTTCAAGATATCAGATTGAGTCCTGTACAGATATTTTAAGTGATGATGTAGCAGAGGTTAGGAGAAAGTAGTTAAAGTCATGTTCTTTATTTTTGTTATGGGAATTATCATCTCATACAGGTGACATATATTGCATATCATGACAAAATTGATTTATAATAGGTCAAGTAGATTCTGAGTATTGTAATAGATCAGTTTAAGAACTCACCATGTTGACAGGAGACACATTTTTGCAGACATGTATACACATAATTCAATTTTCTACACACACACACACACACACACACACATACTCAGTAATACTAAAACTATTTTATACATGTGTTTGTTGTATAGAATATAGGCATTATCCTGTCCTTTGCTTTCAGCTTTTGCAGGAAAACTTAGTCAAGTTGCATACTTCTTGTATTGTTTGTGATGTGTTGATTAATGATATATATGTGTTTGTACGTGTCTGATTGGTTTCAGGTTGATTGGTCTGTGCCTTCTGCAGAATGAACTATGCCCCATTTTCTTGAATCGTCATGTAATGAAGTATATCCTTAGTCGACCTATTAGATTCCATGATTTAGCATTTTTTGATCCAGTAATATATGAGAGTCTGAGACAACTGGTGGTGGATGCAGAAACTAAAGATAGTAATAGCCTCTTTTCTGCACTTGATCTCACTTTCAGGTACGTTTTTTCAGGAGCTTAATTGGAAGTGCGCATTTATGCATCACTACAACAGTAACATTACTGTAAGGCTGCATTCACCTCTGTTTTTGTTCAGAAATACGCTGTAATCTCATTATTTTGAGAATTTATAAAAATTCATAGAAGTGATTGTTCTAACAGACACTTCCAATTGCATACAATACAGTGTGGCACTAATATTTGGGTAGTAATGTAGGTACAGCAGTATTCATAACAGAATAGTTCAATTATTTGAATTATTTTTTCCTTAATATTTACCGCTGTTAACATAAAATTAATTTTTTTAGTATGGTGACTTAAGAAAATTTGTAATGAAAAAAGATCTGATATTTAAAGGTAAAAGTGGCACAACTCAGCACATTTTTGTAAAGTGGTTAATGTAAGATTTTGTGGTTACATTGAAAAATTTTGTGTAATATAGAAAATTCTCATTCTCCTCTTTACTCTTGGAATTTTTCCAAGTTCTCATATCAAACTGAAAAAGTCATTCTTGCATGTGTCTTATAATTAGTGTCTTATGGGAATATTTGTTTTCTTTATTTCAGCATTGATTTGAGTGTAGAGGAAGGTGGTGGGACCATGGAACTTGTATCTGGTGGACGTGATATGGAGGTTACTGCACAAAATGTTTATGACTACGTGCGAAAATATGCTGAATACCGCATGATCAAAACACAGGAAAAAGCTCTTGAAGTTAGTTACATGATATGATACAGAATATACTAACCTGTATCATACTATGATAAAACTTGCTAATGAAAAGCATGTGGGAGAAATAAAATGTAGAATTGTGGTATAATGTATTGTTTCTGTAAGTGACTGGGTGTTCTATTAATTTGAAAACAATAATGAAGTATGGCAGTATTGCTGTAAAACATTAGTGTGTGTAACATTTTTGGAAAATTTATCCTTTAGTAAAGACAAAATCGTACATCAGCAAAGGCTGACATTTATAAATGTAAACAGAACAAAAATGGTTGTCTTTGGAAGCCATATGACTAAACCAAAATTCTTTCCTTATAGTTGTCAACATTGTTTGTAATACAGAAGCATTACCTGCTTTGGCATATAGTCTTGTCTTTCACATATTCACAGTCATTGTCCTGCTTCATGCTCGTTTCTTTCTTACCTTATCCTTTGACCCTGAAGTTGGAGGGTATGGTGGTATATCCCAAAAACTAGAGCTCATGAGAACCACAGTTTGTTTAAACTGGTTTTACAAAGCCACAGTTAGGCATGCTTTATAGCCACATGAACCAGTGATTTGTGTAACTGTTCAGCCAGTTCATTCTGGTGAACTTTGTTCTGAATCTAAAGTTGCTGTTATTATTGCCATCATTGTCATGAGTAAACCCCCACAAGCAAGGCTTTGTTTTGATTGATTGGATGCATGAATGCACAAAACAGCAGATAGTGGAGCACAAGAAATCCACATTCTGTGCAAGACATTCCACTCCATAATGTAAAATATGGTGTTTCGTGCATCCTGAATGCAAAGAGGATTATGATTCCTGTTTCTTATGCAGAGGCAGTTTGAGATATGTAAGGCAAATCCTGCAAGAACAATAAACCTAGCTCTGCAATGAGCTCCAGTCTCACTATGACCACAGCTTGCCAAGAGGAAATAAAATAAGTGATTGAAAATATATGCATTATAATTTTTTAGAATCAGTAATCTTCCTCTGATGAAATTTACAGTGTTGTTAAGAGTGTACTGTAAATCATTAAAATATTTTGAAGTAGAGCTGAAATTTATGAAATCCATATATGTATATGAGTAACATAAAATAAGGTATAATTCAAAATTTTATGCTTGATACAGGCACTGCGTACAGGTGTATTTGATGTCCTGCCAGCTGGTTCACTGGACGGGCTTACAGCAGAAGATCTGCGACTGTTACTGAATGGGGTCGGTGACATCAATGTGGCCGTTCTCATATCATACACCAGTTTTAATGATGAATCAGGGGAGTCAAGTGAACGTCTCTTGAAATTCAAACGTTGGCTGTGGTCCATAGTAGAGAAGATGTCTCACATTGAGAGACAAGATTTGGTGAGTGTGATGAATTATGAGATACTTAATTTTAAGCTGCTTCCAATTTGTTATAGTTTATAATGAATGCTATCAGCAGATACTAAATTTCCTTACATATAATTCACAGTCTTATTTCATCAGATATCTTCTGAAAGTTGACTGCACTTTATTTTTGTGCATGTGTACTTCTGTTGGACGTTTTACTAGAAGTTATCATGGAAAGTGTTGTTTTTGAAATCAATATATTTTTTCTGTGTTGTGGCAACAATAAAAAATAATTTGGATTAGGAACTTTGTAATTTATCCTCATACTTTATCTCTGCATTAATTATGAGAAATTATATATAAATATTCAAAATTAATACTAGTGTATATGGTTTTATTGAGTATTATACAGAATCGTCAGTTACAATAGAATTCTTGCACATTTAGCACCCTTCTGAAAATATCAAGCCATGGAGAAGGTGGTGTAAAGGAAAACAGAGCTCAACTTCACAAGGAACATGCTAAGCTGTGACTTTAACTTTAAAGTTTTAGTTTTAAATGACGATGAAAAAAGCAGTAACTGTGCTGTAATGAAGAAATTTGATGTTTCTGAATCTAATATTTGACTGTATAGAAGTGAAAACAGGCCAGCTGTAACATTAATGGTCCACATCAAAAATGACTGACCAAGAAAAGGGTGTTACAAATAATTTTCTATGAGCTAGACAATTTGTTATAAAATGATTCCAGTCGCCATAGAGATGATTCATCTGAAAGCTACAAGGGTTTGGAATAACTGAATATCACAAAAACAATTTAGAGTGGTAGTTTGGGTTGAGGTAGAAGAATTATGCGTTGCAATGGATCTATGTAACTCAGTCATAGGTAAATAGCGTTCAGCCTCATCAGAAAACTTATGAAGGGCTTCAAACATTGATGGACCTCCAGTGCTATGCATGGGATGCATTATGCCATGCTGTGGGGCTCAGGAGAGAATAAAATAGAAGGTTATGGAAGCAACTGATATGTAGTAGCATCATGAAAGGGACATTTTGAGTGATAACAGAGATTTTGTGGAGATGAATAATTAGCTTAACCTTTAACGACCGAAAGTCCGGTATACCGGACGGTACCTGTGACCTCGAAGATGCCGAAAGTCCAGTATACTGGACGCAAGACACGTGCTCACTTTAGAAGTGCTGACGGTTAGACGTTGAGTTTGAAACCAAAACAAACACACGCAAGTTCAAGTCAGAGGTCCAGTTGTTGGCTCTGAACAATAAAACCCTTCATCATGGTACTGGGTTCGATTTCGTTTACATATAGTTAAGACTGTTTGTGACTTGGTCAGCCAAACAGAGTGGAAGCTTCTTCACAGAAAAGCTGACCCAACATTCCTCTGTGCGGGCAGATCACTGCTTCTGTAGCTCTCAAGGAAGTGTGACGTGTTTAGTGAGTGTCTAAATTATCAGCTTGTGAGTCAGTGGCGGACTGTTTCTCTGGGGAAGCCAAGATTTTTCATTGAGTCATCTGGAACTGAACATTGACAACACTGTCCGGCCAGCCAGATAGAAACAATAACTTCCTGTTTGTTCGCTAAGCGAGAGACTGAACCAGATTGTCTACCAGCGTATGAGAAGTGAGGTCTGTGTGACCTTCACAACGCGCTGAAGCAAACTCTGCCTCTCCGCGCTCCCGCACGCAGTATCTATAGTAGCGTAAACTTACACGACGCAACGAGTTGAAACTCGTGTACAGTCTGACCAAACATTTTGGTGTATAGTGTCAATGTATTTTGGATATAACGACGTCTCAAATTTGAAGAAAAAATTATGGGTAAGTCTTTTGGAATTTCATTACACATATAATAGAGAGTATATTTTGAATTTCATGACATAACAATTACAGTTAATTTTTATTTGTAAAAATTTCCATAGGTATATTGTAGGGAATTTCATTCTCTTTCAGGCGGTTTTTAGTTCGTATTTCTAAGCTGCATAGAACGGAAAATATGTAGTTTTTTCTGAAAGCCTACAATATTAAAAGGGCAACGTCAAATTAAATCCGGCAGCAGCGCAGTCGTGGGGGGTTTAAATGCCGGCTCTTAAAGGTTAATGTGGTGTTGCATATATATTTTTTTATACTCTTTGTATGAATGACATGTAAAAATGAATTCTAATAAACAGTTGTCATTGATATTTAACATTCCTTACCACATGGTTTGGTGAGGTATGGTCACTATGAACTGGCCATTCTTGCATAGATACATCACAGTTATGCTGTAATTATTGCATAAAGTAATGATTATTTCATAAAGTGTTACTGTATGAGGACTCCACCATGTGATTCCTTGATGAACATTGATGTGAAAATGTCCCTTGCTTAAATTTCAATCAATGCATAATATTTGCAAAATGTGTAATAATGGGAAACATACCATGTTTTCACATCACATTCAGATTTTCATATAAATATTGTACATCAAACATATTCATGTTTATTTATTTCTGTAGAAAGCCCATAGAAATTAATGTGCTATTCAAGATTGTGATAGTCATTGTAATCCATTCACCATATTTACTGTCCAATGTATCTTCTCCAGGTATATTTCTGGACAGGCTCCCCTGCATTACCTGCTAGTGAGGATGGATTCCAGCCCATGCCAAGTGTGACAATCCGACCTGCTGATGATTCCCACCTGCCAACAGCAAACACCTGCATCTCACGCCTTTACATCCCTTTGTACAGCAGTCGTGCAGTGCTCCGTCATAAGCTGTTACTTGCCATTAAGACTAAAAACTTTGGCTTTGTTTGAACCTCCCGTAGCAATATGTGAACTCAGTTGACAGTCCATATTGCTCACTGCATTAGCTTCAGGTGTCTGTGGACCCACACTACATAAATCATGACCTTGTGTACTGGCCTAGTTCATGTGATGTCAATTCTGATGTTTGAGTTTCAAATGAACTACCTTCAGAAAATTTGGCTACGTGAAAAGCAATCTGCCAGCACATTGGATGAACATTGGAGTTAGTATACAGAGCTACAAAATGGTATAAAATAATACGAATTCTCATTTTGTTAAAAGACGTAATAAATTATTTAACATGAAACACAATGTACCATATTGTACACAATGGAGGATAAATTCATATGAAAATAGATATGTAGGTGTTCCCTTCTGTTATCTGGTATTTTAGTTAAGCAGATGAATTATCTAAACCTTTTTTAACTCTACCAGTTTCTGTTACACGTATAAAGAGCAGTGTAAAAACTCATCTTCCTCTGTTTTCTTAATGTTTGTATATCTTCTTTTTGAAGTGGTTAGAAAATTGCATCTTGTGAGGAAAGAAATGTTCTCTTTCAGTGAAATTCAGTGATTTGGGTTCAAACAAAAATAGAAGCCACAAGTGAATTAAAAAACATGCAGCAACTGTATTTGTATTGATAGCACGAGTTCTGTGCTGTAATGTGTGGAACACACGCTTAAATGCGTAATGCCATAAAAGTGTCATTTTGTCATTAAAATCACATGACACAATAAATTAAACTTCAAAACTCCACTTTTCTTTCCAGATACAAATTCATATTTTTNAAGTTTTCTTACTATCCTTCCTGTCTCAGATAAATAAGTATTTGAGTGGTACAACATGAATTTCTTCAAATTCTTCGCAGTTGAGTTAACGTACTGAAAGAGAATATTTGAAATTATAATTATTCTATATAGTTCCCTGTTTAATGTCTCATTCTTATTTACTTCTGAATTTTGCAATTTTTACAGGTAATTGCTCTAGGTTTCAACTGTAATGTAGGAAAACGTGTATGTGTATGAAGTGTCATTGACAGTCTTACAGATAGACATTGGATACACAAAGCAGGGTAAATGAAAACACTTATCACTGTAAAGGTGAGGATGATCAAGACACTTCTCATTTTGATGTGGGGTGTAAGAATAGATGTCACTTGGCTTTGGAAAAAGGTAGATGTACTTGCTATGTATATGAAAGTTTGTGATAAAGCAAGGAGAATTATAGATGCTGAATAAAAGAAATACCCATAATAAAATGACTTGGAAGTGAAATAATGATTTGTTGCATTATACTACAGATTATATCATGCTTTAAGTGCAAGAGAGATATTAATTAGATATGTTTTTAATATTGGTTTTAAAACATATATTATTCATTAATATAATATAATAATTGAGTGGTATATGGTAATGATTAGAAGTCATCCAAAAATGCAAAGTGCGTTACTCATATCATCTTTTGGTGGATCTTCAACATAGTTGGCTAGTGGAATTATGCAGTCAGAGATGAGTGGTATTGCTGTTTTATGGAATTTAAAATAACACGCTCTTCAGACAACTGATCAAGCATTTCTCACGGAAGCTATCAAGCTCAATCTCTGCCTTTGTAATGAGGAAAAAACTCCCCAGTATCACTGACAACTGTTTCATCATCTGTTTAGTATGTTGTTTTGGATGTCAGTTGTTTTTGAAAGTTAATGTGATTGAGTTTGTATTGAATAGACCCCTTTGTTGTGGAGAGTTATGCATAATATTACAGAAGAACAGATAGCCATTCCATCAGGAGATGAAATTGCACATGCCATCAGAAATTGAAATAAGAAAAGAAGGTGTAACCAAATTGGGGATGCATCTAAGAAGATCTGAGTTGCAGGCCACATAACAAGATGCTTAAGACCAAGATGACTGAATAAATTAGACAAAATTATTTTCATAATATTCCACTTAAAAAAGGCTCCAGCTGATAAAGTTAATTTATTGACTAAATATGGCAAACAGTGCACATTTATCTGCTTTTATAACAGTAAAACCAGACAAAGGTAATCCAAGAGAACTCTAGAGGATGTAACATGTTACAATTTTTCACACAGTTATAAAGTAAAGTCTGGGTAATAATAAATTCTCTGGCATCAGGAATATTTGTATGATTCAAAGAATTTATGTCTCTGCATGAGTCAAATAAGAAATTGATCTCAAAAGTCATGGGCCACAACTGGGAAAGCACATATTTAATCAAGAGGCAAACATACAAATATACCTCACAAAACAGAGTGCTGTTGTATCTAAGTCCATGAACATATTCAGTCACTTAAAGAAAAAAGGCCTACCTGAAGACTTGAATGTATGCAAATTACATGAATTATATTCTGCTAAATGTGTACTCCATCCTGTTTTATATGAAAGATACAGATGTATATACATGACAAAGTAAAATATCAGTTTTGAGTATCCACAGACTGGTTGAACATGTAACCACTTCTGGCACAGAAGATAAAATTTTAATAGATAACAACATTAAAACATAGTGCAGCAAAACATTGTGAAAATCAATCTGCATAAAAAGAGAAATTTTGTGCCATAAAAATGCATGGAAACCCATCATGAAAGAAGAAATCAAACTTCTATCACCAAATGCATCAACAAATTATATATATTTGTATTGTTTTATTACATCTTCAGCATGCACATGCTATCTTCTGGTCAGTCAGTCTTCTGCACTTATGTCCAAACTGTTGCAAGAAAAGAGCCAGATGAGGTTTGCTCCATGAGGTACTATTACTGTAGAGAAGTGTTGCCAGCTAATGTGTTACAGTTGGACAGCTGTTGCAATTCATGTGCAGGGCAAAATAAAAATTATTCAATGTCTAGTTTCTTTTTACTTCATTGTTCACATAAAGTAAAGGTCTGGTACTGTGTCAGTTTCCATGTAAGAGAACGTTCATTTATAGAATGTAACAAAAACATGCATCTTCTTAATCATAAATCCATATGTGAATTTCCTGAAGAACTGTGACAAATACTGCTCAGTAACAGGAAGAAGTCTGATCCTTCATTGTAATTGATGGAATACAGAAAATCATTTATACCTGAAGAAATGTTCATGAGAAATTGTACGGGAAGAAATCTCCATTTTCTCAGAGGACTATGTCCCCCTACACTATAAAGAAGGAATAACCTCCTGTGGCACCTCATCAGTCCTGCAGAGGACCTTTTGAGGCTTATCAGGTGAGAATTTAGTACATTTCATTTAGTTAACGTGAATGTTAAATTTTAATATTATAATACCAAAAATCATACTTACTGTCATTATTTTCTGTCGTGTTTTAAGGAGTCTTGTCCTGAGTCAGCAGCTTTATAAAAAACATTTAAGCAATCACAGTACTGTGGTTTCCCCTGTCAATTTTCATTCCACCAACTGCTCCATCTCCATTACTCAACCTGTTATCAGCTCTACTGACAGCATTAGTAAAAAACATGACTGAAAACTGAAGCAACAGTGCATGGAATATTATAAACTAATAGATGTTCTAAAACCAAAATATGATGACCTCCAGATGCTAAAGAGATTTTCTGCTCTACCTGTCCAAGAATGCTACAGTATACTCCCCGTAGAGAATGGAGACAAGAGTGACAGTTGCTTGAGAGGTAAAACCCATCTTGGCCTAAAAGTTTCATATCTTTAGAATTACTATAACTACTGATAATTATTTCTCATTCTGTTTTCAACACTTTGCATTTAGTTTTAATTGTGCAATCTATCATGTTCTTCACAACCTGTGACATTCTTCCAACGCACATGTACAATTGTACAATGCCTAACTTCATCAGGAAGGTGATAAAAATAATGAGTTGGACATCTGTCATTCTTTTCCAGTTCAGTGCATATATTTATTCCTTGTATAATAAATGACCGTGAAATATTTGTGTCTTACTCAAGAAGGAATATGTAAGAGTAATTTTAAAAAACTGTCACTTTGTTATGTTAGTGGTTTCAATAAATGTTACCAGTCCACAAAATTGAAAAATGCTTATCTGAAAATATTGATTTTTCCTCTGTACCCTTCACTTTGAATGTAGGATGCTATAACCAGCATTGTAACCCTTTCTAGGTCTCTGACACAAATTACTTGAACACATTTTATTCATCATCATCATTGCAGATTAGTCCCTACTTGGTCTGTTCTGTCCTCTTGAAGAGTATGTTGGTCCCTCCATCTTAATTGTGGCCACTGTACGTTTCATCATCTTTTTGGGTTGTATGTTAAAATTTTCTTCGGAATCTTATTGCATATATAAATGAACAGTATTCGACTATAATGGATTCAACATCTCTTGACAATAGAAAATTACATATCCTTATACTCAGTTCTCAAATGTCTATTATATTCTACAGAATTCCACATACATTAATGGTAATCAGAAAAAGAGGTAAAGTAAAGGTATCCCTGTAACAGGCTGAGAAGGCCCATAGGGTTGTGAGACGAGGGTCCCACGTTATCTAGTCAATCGGCTCAAAGATGGCAGTTATGCGCTGGCTACACTTTACTCCCCAGGAAAATTATTTAATTCATTTCTGTTAGAGGCTGAGTCGACCCCAGGGCCATAGTGCAGCCGGATGGATTAGGTCAGTTGAAAAAATCCAATGACCTCATCGGGACTTGAACCCGAGACCTTGCGGCTTGTAGCATAGTGCCTCAACCAACTACACTACTGCGTGCCCCGCCAGAAAAAGAAGTACAGAAAGAAAATTATTAGTGTTTGTGAACACATTCCAAGAAATTACTGGTATATTTAATTAACAAAATTCAATAATGCCCTAATAATGCCAAACAGCTTTGGGTATACAAATTTACAAGAAGACATATCTTTGGGTGCATTCAAAGTTACTGTAGTTCCTAATTTTCAAACAATCCAAGTGAAATATTTTATGATGTCAGTAAAGAATAATGAAAATGCAAGCCTGGTCATGCATAGGGTGATTCTCTACTTCTTTCAGTTCTCCTCCTTTCATATAGAACTTCAAAACATGAACCATTTTAAATAATACTTTCCTATTTTCTCACAACATAAGTACAGGTGCTGGTGGGTAAGCATGATAATCATATTCTTGTCCTTAGGTTCTGTGGCCAGAATTTAATCTATGACTACAAATTTAGCTTCTCACCTGTTCATATGTGAATTGGTATTTCGTTTTCTGAAGTGTGATTCCAAAATGTACTGCATACTATTTCCCATGTTGCAGTTGTGTTAAATACATGTACATAATAGAGGCAACTATTTCAAAATAATTACAGTTCAAATTAATTTCCTTTTGTCTCCATCCCTGTGTGGCCCACCCCTCACATACAGACAACTCACATTCTTGCTAAGGAATTTGGGAGTTATGATATACAAAGCTCTAAAATGGCTATAAAGAGAAGATATGTGTGGCTACCAGGAATATTGAAAAAGAACATACAGAAAAAAAATGCAGAGAAATAGATTACCAGTCAACAGCACTGACAGAAGAAGAGATAGAGCATTCTTACATGGGAGTTGATGGAACAGGCATGCATGCATGCATGCATGATTGAAAACTCCAGATTTGATTTAATGCCACTCTTTAACAACTTGACATAATCAAAGTTTAGGATGGCATGTCCAAATTACTGATGGTATTTTAATGGTAGACATTATTCACTGATGTATTTCAAATAAACATGGAACCTAAATTTATGTTATATTTATACCTTCTGACTGAGCAAGTTGGCTTAGCTGGTAATGATACTGACTTCTATTTTGGAGGGGCACTGTTCAAATCCTGGTAGGGGCACTGACTATCCTGACTGATATTTCATGGCTTTCTACACTCCTCACAGACAGACTGGACCATTACATTTCAAATTCATTATTCACAATCGTCCTCTCATTTGACACTATATAACCTGAGTTACTGACAGAATTGTTCAAATGCATAAATATTTACGCCTCTTGGTACTGGAAGGTCTCTGCTTAAAAGTATGAAGTATGTGACAAATTTATAGCTACCTAACAGTACTTTCAAGTATAAAATTTTTCTCTTTACATAACATGGCAGTTACTTCAAAATAGACCCAAGCAAATAAACAAATGTCTAGTTCAGTATTACTCAGATTGAGAGAAGCGTGAAACTTGAGAATGGGTGTCCCTTCCACAGCTGTGCGATTTTCACCTTTCTCTGGCTTCTTCAGCTTTAAACATATTTTTCAATATTTTAAACCAGCTTCACATGAAAATACAAGTAACAGAGGAGATGGAATAGCCCAATCAATATAGCAATGGGCTGTAAGCTGGACGGTTGAGGAATTGGGGTTCGATTTCCAGCAGGAACTAGAGAGTTTTCTCTTTTCCACAGCATCCATACTGGCTCTGTGTCCCAACCAACCTCCTATACAATGGGAACCAGGGGCTTCCTTTCCCTGGGGTTAAAGTGGTTGAGGAATGAAGTTGACCACTCACATCCATCTAGTGGCCAAGGTCCAAATAGTGAAGCTAAGCCTTCACTCCCCAGTGTGTCTTCATGGCATTGGGCATAATTAATTAAGCACAGGGATTTTTTTTTTTACATTTTCTGACACAAGTATCAGACTGTGTCAAATAATTTAAAGTAGTATAGCATGAACTCAGAAGTAACCAGCTGTACCAAATAAAAGCAGCTTCTGAAGTATGGGCCCACAAATCCAGTCAGAGCTGCTAAAATAACACACTTTGGTGTTGATGTCTGTCTAGTCTTGCTGGTAGTCCAGCCTCATTTCTGTACTTAACCCCTGAGTCACACATGATTCAGACACATTCAGTACTACAGTGAGAGAACAAGACCTTTAGGCATGCCCTGACTCCATCTGCTTTTGCAGCTACTTAAAATGAATGAAAGAAACTTCTGTAATTGACTTTATACCTTCCAAGTTCTTGCAGTTCATCTTGCAATTGGATCCTTCTTTTAGCAACAGCCAAAGCATTTGTGAAAAATCCAACAAGTACAGCAGCAAAACCACCTGGCACAAATAATACTGCCGAGTTTCATACTTGAGCTAATGACATTTTCACATCAATTTATTTTGCCTACTTTCACTGTCTAATGAAGTATGGAATAACTGGGGTAATTCATCTGATAGCAAAAAGTATTTACATTTTAAAAAAAGACTGTTAGAATTATGACGTGTGTGGCAAACTTTGAAATGCTTCGAAATTACTGGGTTTTCGGCTCTTGTCCATCATCCGGTGTTCTTAAAACGAGAGAATACAACGTTTTGGAGACTTTATGTGTTCATCTTTCGACATAGTCTTGTCATGGGTATTTATATAGCTGTAGTTATACTGACAGATATTTGGAAATGATGATATCAAATCAAAACCTGATTCAGGAAGAAATTAAGAGGAGATTGAACTTGGGCAATGCTTGCTACCATTCAGTCCAGAACCTTTTGCCTTTTAGTCTGCTGTCCAAAAACATAAAAATTAGAATATACAAAACTATAATTTTGCCTGTGGTTCTGTATGGGTGTGAAACTTGGTCTCTGATATTAAGAGAGGGTGTTTGAGAACAGGTGTTGAGGAGAATATTTGGTCCAAAGAGAGATGAAGTGATGGAAGGTTGAAGAAATATATATGAGGAGCTTCATAACTTGTACTCTACTCCAAGTATAATTAGAATGATCACGTCAAGGAGGATGAGGTGAGCAGGGCATGTAGCACAGATGGGGGAGAGGAATGCATATAGGATATTGGTCAGAAAGCCAGATGGAAAGAACAACTGGGAAGACCAAGTCATAGGTGGGTGAACAGTATTAAAATGGATCTTAGAAAGATAGGAAGGGGTTGGATCGATCTGGCTCAGGATAGGGACCAGTGGAGGGTTCTTGTGAACATGGTAATGAAGTTTCGGGTTCCATTGGTGGGAAAGCCAGATGGAAAGAGACCACTGGGAAGACCAATTTATAGGTGGGTGAACAATATTAAAATGGATCAGAGAGAGATAGGAAGGGATGGTCTGGATTGGATTGATCTGGCTCAGGATAGGGACCAGTGGGGGGTTTTTGTGAACACAGTAATGAACCTTCGGGTTCCATAAAATGCTGGGAAATTCTTGAGTAGCTGCACAATTGGTGGCTTCTCAAGAAGAGCTCAGCTCCATGAGTGAGTGAGTGAGTGAGTTATACTGAAGTGAGTTGTCCCATGATTGAGGTTCGTTCTTTGCAATGGACCCAACAGAATAGATGTTTCCCCTCTCATCCGAGGATGGAAACAGATTCAGTTTCCGAAACGTTGTGTTCTCTAGTTTTTAGAATACCAGATGAGGGTTGAAGTCCAAAAACCCAATAATTCTGAGTGTTATACACAGGGCTTGAGGTCAGGCGGGATGCGGCAGGATGGAATCCCGGTTCTTTTCTAAATGGCTTAAAAGCAACCCGTTTCTTCTTTGGCAGTAAATGCAATGTACAATACCCAGGGCTTGAGGTGGGGCAGGATGGCATCCCGGTTCTATTTTCATTCCACCTCAAGCACTGGTTATACACCATCACCAGAAATCTTTTGAATGTAGTTTAAATTCTTGTAGAAGTCTAAGCAGCTGGACATCCTGCCTCTTCCATCTGAACACATATTTTCATTAATGAACTTAATTCTAAATAACTTAGAATATTTTCAGACTATTCACTTGTACACAGTGTTAACACAAGAAATAAACACCATCTTCATAGACCAACTGCTAACCACTCATGTTTTCAGAAAAGCACATGTTATATTGACATCAAAATTTTCAACAATCTGCCATCTGAGATTTCAGAGGCTAAGAATGGTAACCATTACAGTTCGCTTCGTTTCTATTTTGTTCTATTTGTACCTGTTTTGACATAACTGACCCGTACTTGCGACGGTCATAAAGCTGCATGAGATCCCCATTTAAAGAATCTCTAGAGAAAATGTTTCCCTTTCACTAAATAAGGCGTTTTATTAAAAATGGGTTATGCTGAAATGGCATCTGATTCTAACTAATTCCGACTATTTCGCTAATTATAAACGTCTTCCCGTATACACTCGCCATAACTAACAATAAATGAAAGAAAGCCTTTTGACGAAATTCAAAACGCGCGCTCAACCTCACACGTTGAAGATCTTGAAGATATAGCCATAGAAGCAGAGGTAGCGGAGAGCGGACGAGACCGGCGAGACCGGTGCAGAGTTCGCCAGACGATGATGTCTGATCGAGAATGGCGTTTGCAATATCAAGGAAGTTAATATATTGTTAAAAATCAAGGAATTGACTGTCATATTATTTAATAATATACGTTGTTTTTATCACGCAATTATTACGTTTCTTTCGTCCGGAAAAATGTTCCATTGTAAGGTATGAACAAATAAAATGTACCAGCATTTAAAATCGATACTGCTACCAGTTTTATAATATTTAAGAGTTCTTATAAAGCACAGTCCTTTTTTTAATTTTAGAAAGAAGCTTTTGTGGATGGGATTCTGTCTCCGTCTTAAGGTTTTCAAATAAAAATAGGGCGATGGATAATATCAAGAAACAATATTTGTACCAGTTTTGTGTTGTCATGTGTTATACTGAAGAATATATTCTGGTAATGTTAAAAGATTTATATCCCCTCATATTATGGCTCAATGAAATTTAAATGCGATTAATCTTGTAGCTTTAATTTTCCAGTTATTTCAGTTTTGTTTTCGTAGTTAATTTAGAAGGGATTAAAAATTTAAGTCCATAAAGTTACTCTTTCAGTAGTTGCTCATTTTTGAAATGGTAATGAACAGTAAAAGAAATATATATGTTCCTGTGTGATTAATATTGTCCAAAATTCAATGGCAGTTGTCCTTTGGGAGGTGATTAATTTTTCGTACTAAACTATGTAAATAGGGAATGAAGTTTTCCATAAGTATAATCATCAGAAGAAGAAACCCAATAATTCTGAGAGTTATACACCATTATCAGAACCCTTTACAACCTGCGAGAAGATATAAGTTCCATATGGCATGAAATCATTTAGGCTAAGATCATCAGTTTCAGTACTTTCTAATGGTCATCTTTTTAATTATGTCTCACGTCTCATTACTGTCTTCATTTAAGAAAAACGGATTATAGTGTCATATCCATGTGCCTAATGCACCTTTCTCTTTCTGATGTACTATTAGGAAATAAATTTCTCTCATCCATATGTCTGAGCATCCTATGACAGATAATAGATTTTATGTAACAAAAGCTTTAAAACAGCAATTTTGGTTCGTTGTTGGTGTAACAAAGTGTAACACTCACAAAGTGGGAATCACTTACTCTTATGCTGTCTGCACAGAATTTTTGAAATGTGTTTAAAATGCTGAAACTGATGAAACAGTCTTGAAATTCCAATGTGGTATATACTTAAGTAAGTAAAGTTAAGCTATCCCTGTACCTGGACGTTAAGACCCATAGGGTTGTGAGACGTTGAGGGTCCCACATTATCTAGAGAATCAGCTCAAAGATGGTGGTAAGGTTGTAAAACCGGCCGCACTTTACTCCCCAGAAAAATGATTTAATTAATTTCTGGTACTCATTTCTGTTAGAGGCTGAGTGAACCCCAGGGCCATAGTGCAGCTGGAAGGATTAGGCCAATTGAAAAAAATCCAATGACCTCATCGGGACTTGAACCCGCGACCTTCCGACTTGTAGCGTAGCCCCTCAACCAACTACGCTATCGCGTAGTACAAGTATTACAGTCATAACAGAAACTTCTTTCATGCTATTTTATTGAAATTGGTTTTGCAAAAAAGAAAAAAAGAAAGAAACGTTGTTCTTCTCCTTTTTCCTGTGTTATACTGAGAAATGTAGTCGCTGGAAATTCAACACATCACTTAGTGTGAAAGGTATCCTAGACACACATTATTGTAACCTGAATAGTGATGCATTTTCTTGTCTTTTTTGTGCGATTTTTAGCCAGTCTTGCATAAGTGTTTGTGTCATAAGTACAAAAAAAAAAGAGTTAATTTATTTGTAAATTCTGTGAGGCAGATCCTATCTTAATACAAAAGTCTTTAAACACATTCAAATAATGTGTATTTCATGGATGTGAGTGACATGTTAGATGTTGAATTCTTGTGTCCATGGCAGATGTTTCAAAAGTTCCTTCTGCCAGGCCCAATATGTGCTGCAGCTGCTTTCACCGCAGGGAAAGAAACTGGCACTTCTGATGTCAGCAAGGTAGTTGAAGGAACCTCAAAGACTGATTCATGCAAACACTGCCATATACCTCCCAAGCTGCGCCCTAGTGAACTGCCCTTCTATGGAGGTGAACAAGAGAAGGGAGGAAGGTGAAGAAGTGCTTTTTAGTTTACTTTATCTTTATTTCCTTACCATGCTGTGTGTGCGCGTGCGCTTGTGTGTGTGCATGTGTGTGTCTGCTTTCCAAATTCTGAACAAATTGGCTTATTTTCATGAAATTTTATATGAGTGTTACACCCTTGGAACGCCCACAGCTTCATAATTTTTAATTTCCTACTTTTAGTAATAACAGCACAGCAGATGTATGAACCTGTGAGATGTAAACAGCACTAGCAATACTTCACACAGGTTTATAAATTTGTGTGTGGTAGTAGATCATAGAGTGTTTAGCTGTGAGAGCTAGACGTATGAAATTGTTAGGAAGCTAGGTTATAAAAATAGAGCTACTTTCTTTATTAAACATGCTACTGCAGAAACATCCTTGTAACTTTCCTGCTGCAATAACCTGAGATTTGTATGTGTTTTAATGTTTGTTCATGTGGGGCACTCTGACAAGAGTCTTTGTCATTTACAAATGCTGCTGGCCCTCACCAGCATAGCCATTGAGTCCGAGTCCCATGGGACTCATGACCATATTTTACTCTCTCAGATTTGGAACTTCCCTACAACTCACAGGGCTAGGGTGGAAGTATTTGACCCACCTGTGTTTTGATTCTCCAGATATAGCCTTGGGGCAGGCCACACAGAAAACACCTCTTCTAGTTGCTCTGTTGCAGTGTGACATAGCTGTTGTGGTGGACCACATAGGAAACACTGCTTCCAACATTTCTTCTGTTGTTGTGTTCATAAGCATGGCAGTGGTCACTTGACATTTAATGAACCATTGCCTAGCAACGGGCATGATCACAGAGCCATTCTCTAGCATTCTCCAGCCATTCTCTTTGCTATCTTCACAATTCTGGCTTCCAGGGGAGATGCCACATAATCATACTATTGTGTTGAATCTCGGTAACTCTGTCTTCACACATTTGTTAAGCTTGAACTGTATCAAGTCAGAAAAATTATGCATGACATAACAATTCTGACACATTCAGTCTCTTATTGACTGGATTTTCAGTTCATGACTGCTAACATTTCATGATTTCTATAAATAACAGAAAGCAAGTAGGTGGATAACCAAAGACATCCACTATAAAATTTGGTCAGAATCAATTCAGTATTTCTTGAGGTATGAGGTAACAGCATGAAAGTCCCCTTGAAAACCATTAGGAGTTATGGAAAAGAATGTTGGCCATAAAATGTTTCATGTTTCTCTTTAGCTTTCATATGAAACATTTTTGACTTTGATAAATATTTTGTGAGTTATAATAGAGGTAGGCGTAGAGCATGTAGGTTTTCATGTAAAATGGCTTATTGTTGTCCTGTTTTAACCAAAAGGGGAATGTGTCAAAATAATGTAGTAAAACTCCTAGTATCAAATTTCATGAAAAATTGTTCACCAGCTCTTCATTTGTTATTCTAGGCACATGGACATTACACACAGCTTAGTGTGAAGGCCTTCTATATAGGTCTGTTTTATTCAGCCTGATAAAGTTGGCATAAAAGCCGGAATTGAAGTTACATCGTAGGTTTCTGGCACTCTTTGGGATACCACGTTTTACATTTGAATTCATGTGTAGTAAGTTTTAGTTTCTTGGTTATCACAATTCTTCATATTCTGGGTTTCATACTGATATCTGTTACACAATTTTAAACATTATTTGCACTGTTATGCAAGTTTACATTATACAGTAATATTGCAGTTATTACCTTTGTTAAAGATGGTGCTCTGCAAGCATTCTGTCTAAGCTGTGCATTTTATTTCTTGAAAGGTGCAAGTAGTAATATTTTGGAAAACAAGAAACCGTTAAAAATACTGTAAGTGGTAGTTGTTGACAGTTACATGTAATGTGAGGTAGTTTGGTTCAATCCATAATTTCCTGTTGTTTATATGCTGCCAGCTTTGTCTTTCAAGTGTCATTATCTTTCTTAAGCACTTCTCTAGCATCTCACATACACTTGCTGTATGTTCTTCTTCAAGAGCCAGACACCACGTTTCACCTGTATAGAAAATTAGCATCAGATACTAATTATTGATTTTTGGGAAAGAAGGTGAGGTTTCACGGCTGAATGTTTCAAACAATTTTTTGACTGACTCCTAACTTCAGTACGACCTCATTTTTAGAGGTTCAAATGGAGCTTTTGGTTCTGCTCAGAATCTTAGTAGTGAGTTGCAGGTTTCTGTTCATCCATCTACTAATTAAAATTCAGACATCACTGTTGTAGTCACTCATTGTCTAATTTACCTGAAACCCGGTATAAAGAGCATGCCATTGAGTACAGCTCATCTAATACCTTTGTGTTTCCTTGTCATCAGCTTTACCAACATGCCCACTCGCAAAGTTTTGAAATGGAAATGACACTAGTATAAGTCAATAAGTTAATGAATTTATTTGTTAGGTTGTATTGGATGGGCTTCAATATTTCAAAACTTTGAGGAATGGATAATTTTTATGAAGTTTATTATAGATTGGGAAAGTTAATTCATTTATGACTACCTGTAGTCCTCTGATACTCTTGATGTTTTGTTTTGCTATTTCATTTTTTAAATATAGATATTCCAGCACTATATATGAGGTCTGAAAATAAAGTTCGTGAACTCGCCCCCATGTTGATATTGGAGGGATTTTTTTTTATTATTGCTAGTGGGGTGGGACTAAGTCCCTTGTACTGCGGCCACTTCTGGCCCATTGTGCCAGCCCCAGATGACAGGTGAGGGTGATTGTGGAGCAATTGGTGGAATGAAGATTGACAGGGGAGACCAAAGTACTTGGAGAAAACCTGCCCCAGCGCCACTTTGTCCACCACAAATTCCACTTGACCAGACCCGGCATCGAACTGGGCCGCTGCGATGGGAAGCCAGCAACTAACTGCTTGAGCTATGGCACAGCCCGAGGGATTGTTGAGTATTGGTTTGTACCAACTGTACAGACAGTCAACCAAGTTACCTGAAAAGGCTGTGTGAAAAAGGTAGATGGAAATGACCTGAATTTTTTACCAACAACTCATGGCTCTTGCATCATGACAATGCACCTGCTCAAACAGCACTGTCTGTAAGGGAGATTTTAGCTAGTAAACAAATAACTGCTGGAACACCCTCCCTATTCATTGGATCTAGCCCCCAGTGATTTTTTCTGTTCCCGAAGATAAAGGAAATATTGAAAGATAGGTATTTTGATGACATTGATGACATCAGGAGTAATACAATGTCAGCTCTGAAGGCCATTCCACAAAGCCAGTTCCAAAATTGTTTTGAAGTGTGGACTAGGTGCTGGTATCGGTGCATAGCTTCCCAATGGGAGTACTTTGAAGGTGATCACAGTGATATTCAGAAATAAGGCATGTAGCACTTTCAGCATGATGAGTTCGCAAATTTTATTGTCAGACCACGTAGATTACTCATACAGTGTAAATGCTCCACTTGTGGTTGAATCTATTGGGAGTATATATGTGCAGGCTGGAGAGAGTGGTGGAGGAGCCTTCAAGACTTGAGCAGATGATTGGTGCCATGCGTAAGGAGGTGTGGGTCTTTTATGATCAATACAAAGGCTACCAACTACGGGTTCTTGAAATTGTGAGCACTGGAAAGGCACATGCAGAATGTAAGTACAGAATTCAAAGTAACCGTTTTAATGAAAATTTAATGTCACTATGAAGGTAATGTTATACATTTCTTTGAATATCCACATTTGACAGTGGCAACATGGCAGCAATACACATTTCTGAGTTTTTTTTTTATTTGTATTGTTGATCGAGTATTAATGAGATGATGATATCAATACGGATAAGATGGATGAGACCTATAGCATGCGTTGGTGAATATGAAGTACACTCAAAATTTAGTTGGCCACCCTCAAGGGAAGATTGCATGATAGTGTTAAGAGTATGTGGGAGGATAATTTTAGGTGGATTTTAAAAACACGGTTTATGTAGTTGATCTGGGTATGTAAATAATCTAAGCAAATACGTGGGTAGGCTGAAAAGTAATGCACACATGCTTGTAGGGCGCAAACAAAAACAAATAGCAAGATCGGGCAAAAAGTACATTAAAGTACAATTCTTAAGTTTCAAAAGCATATATTTATTTTTCAACATAGTCACCGTTAAGGCTAACACATTTCTCCCAACGTGTAACAAGTTTTTTCATTCCGTCACTGAAAAATTCTTCTGGCTTTTCTCGAATCCAGGACTTGACAGCTGCCTTCACCTCATCGTCCAAGGTGTAATGATTACCCTTGAGGTCTCTCTTGAGTAGAGGAAAAAAATAAAAATCGCAAGGCGCAAGATCGGGGGAATAAGGAGTGTGTGGAATCGGTTCAAACTTCAGGTTTCGCAGAGCCTCTTCAGTTGCGCGCGAGGTGTGTGGATGAGCGTTGTCATGTTGCAAGATTATTGGCGCCAGGCTGCCTCTAACATGACAAACTCGGCACCGGAGGTGTTTTAGAGTCTGTATGTACTGAGAAGAATTTACCGTTGCCCCTCGTTCCAGAAAATCGGTCACATAAACTCAATGANGTGATCGGACGTCCGCTGCGTGTTTCATCAACAATTATGGCTTTTCCAGGCTCGCAACCACGAAATTTTATTACCCATAGATTTACAGTAGACCTATCAACAGCATCGTCACATAAACAGCCTTTAAACGACGATGAATCTCAGTAGGAGTCACTTTTTCAGCAGTTAAAAATTCGATAACAGCACGCTGTTTAACTCGCGTTGACATAGCACTAGAACACGTCTCCATAGTTCCGCTTCTCGAAATACATTGGATGAACGCATTGACCTCAAACTTGCGCATGCATATTGTGGGGGGAATGTTACTTCCACATGCCACCTGGCGCGCTTCTGAAGGTCATTTCGTTCGCGCTCTACAAGCATGTGTGCATTACTTTTCAGCCTACCTGCTTAATTACACATTGTGCTGGATCACTGTGCATTACATAATGCTGTTCAATTTGCATCTTATATTAATCTGCATACCAATATATTATGGGGCACGCGGTAGCGTAGTTGGTTGAGGCACTGTGCTACAAGCCGGAAGGTCACAGGTTCAAGTCCTGATGAGGTTATTGGATTTTTTTCAATTGACCTAATCCTTCTGGCCGCACTATGGCCCTGTGGTCGACTCAGCCTCTAACAGAAATGAGTACCAGAAATTAATTAAATAATTTTCCTGGGGAGTAAAGCGCGGCTGGCGCATAAGGCTGATAACCTTACCGCCATCTTTCAGCCGATTGTCTAGATAATGTGGGACCCTCAGTGTCTCCCAACCCTATGGGCCTTCACAGCCAGTTACAGGGATAGCTTTACTTGTTTTACTTTGAAGAAAGCAGTCTTCTGAGATTTGGCACCGTGTATATGTGGTTAACACCACATATACACAGTGCCAAATCCCAGAAGACTGCTTTCTTCATAGTCACCGCCGTGAAAGCCTCAAATCTTACATTGTTTTACTTTATTTTACCAATATATTATATGGAAGTGAAACACAATGCTGAGTTTGTCACATAAGTATTTTTGTTCTGGATTTCATCTCATTGAAGAAATAGTTCTTTGGGTTTACATTTTTCATAACATTACATTTTGAAAGAAGCTGTTTAAACCTAGGTATTTAAATGTTCTTGTTTTTAGTACTAATGAGCCCAGTTCATGTGAATCGGAAGATCGTATTTGTATATTGTTTATTTATCTGTGATGTATTTAATGATAGTGCTAGTATCTCAGACTCCATAATGTCAAATGGTAGGATGATTAGTGATTAATGAATTGGAAAGGATGTGAAAGGAGATGGTAGTGGCCTAACTGAGGTACTTTCATGGGATTTTCTTGGAAGGATCAAGGAAAACCTCACTTAGGATTGTCAGTGTCCCAGTCGAGATTCTCACCAGGTACCTCCTACATACACATCAGAGGCATTACTGTTTGAGCCAGCTAGCCTGGTAGAAAGTCATACTTGTTTTTTTGAGTAATGGAAGGAAAACCATCTTGTGTTCCTGTAGCTTCCACATTAGCCAGCTGGAATGCAGAGAAGTGGCTTCAAAGGATGTAGTTTGTTTCTTTTGTGGTATATATCAGTAGATGATGGCTGCATTAAAATCTTGCATGTTATGCATCATAACAAAAAATGATCCCACCAAGTTATGCAGGAATGAAGGAAACAAAACATGAAAGAGACAAAAGTTTCTTCGCCTTTAAGCAATATTGTGGCTGGTAGAATGGGCGGACAAAGGAAAGGTTTTTTACAAAATGTAATTCTCTCAGAAACTACCAGAAAAATTGCAAGGTGAACATAAAATCTGCATTGTGACGTATATTGCTGCAGAATGGTCAGCTAATGCAGGTAGGCACCATGCTACAAATGTGTGATATGTTACAAAAGTTGTCACCACCTCATAGATTAAGAATTATAGTTTTGGAAGTGTAATATGCAGCCAAGGAAGTTGGCTTAAGCAGTAACATTTGTGGCTGGCATTCAGGAAGTGTCTGCTTTGAATCGTGAACAGGACATCGACTGTCCTGAGTGAGGTCTTTTGTGGTTCTCTTCGGATATGGAAAGCATACTCTGAATTAGGACATTACTGCTTCCTTCCACTTTGTTTGAATTCCTTTTTCACCATCATTTCAGTCATTGATACTGTATAATCTCAGTTGCTAATTGTGTCATTAAACAAACTACAAATATATAAATATAACATATTTCCTCAATTCTGAGATGCCATTAGTTGTAAGATGGACACTTTATTTAGTAATAAGTTTTCAGAAAAAAAAAATATTATGGTAAGAATTGGCAGCATTCAAACATAACATTTCTTTGTATAAACAAACACAGATCAACACAAAATTGACAATTTAAATTAAATTCATTCACTATATTCTGCACTTGTGAATTCAGTTTCACATTCCAAGTCTACAGTCACACTTTAAATCACAGCAGTCAATATCAAAATTGTGTAAGATATTATCTCTTGTACCATGAAGGTGCAATTGTAATACAGCATTTTTTGAGTGACTGTTCCTCCGTTTCTCCTGTGATCTCCTTCCAAGTAGCTGAGACACAACCTGAAAGTTTTGAAGCAGATGGTGTTAGTAGAAGGTTTCGAAATAGCAAACAAGCCTTGTATCCCTTCCTTAAATTAAATGACTTATTAATCAAAACATTAATTGATTGATTGAAGTTGACTGGTTATGCCACCAGGAATGACAACCAAGTCATAATTCTTTCTCTCAAGTTTAACCTTCAGTTCTTCATTTAAGTATCCACAAAATGCATTGGGGACTAACATACTTGGTGAGTTACATAGAGGTCAAGGTTGTCTTTCCCAGACATTCTTATCCATTCTTGCATCATATCAGCTCTTATCCTTCCATTTTTTGTGCATGCGCAAAGTCTTCATGGGACGTTTCATTCTTAGGTGTCATTTTGCGATCGTTGATGATATAAGTTGGTCATTTATGGCCATTAGTAGCTATGCACGGCATCACCATTACTCACTGCTTTTCATAACCTGTGCTTCTAGTTTTAACTTCTTTTGCACCTTTAGCATAAACAGTGCTATTTTTTAGGTATATTAAAACACACTGCCATCATGTCTGCATTTCATTTTTGCTTAAATGCATAATTTTGTTTATTCCATATTTGAATAACATGTTGTTAGAAGTATAGCATGTTCTCCTGAAAATCAACTGGAATCTTTTTGACATGTGGATGTTTGATGCCTGTGTGACAGTCCTTGATGAGTGCTTGAATCTGTTGCACAGACCTCGCCCAGCTTTAGAATTTGTTATTCCAAATGATTGCCATCGTTTGCAGATCCTGCCTTGTGATAGGCATCCCCCTTGCATGCATCTATTTGATGAAATGAAGAACTTCAGTATCTGCATCACAATATCTTCTTTTCTTTGGTCATGTGAATCTCTCTGCGGTAGCTTTAGATGAAAATATGGAATTACAGTTATTCCTCCAATGGTGAACATTTTCTTCACTTAATAAAAATTTACATACTGCAGCGCTGTTTTCATATTCTGCTGCATATATAATGACTTTATTTTAATGCTGCATCTTGATGGAACCATTTAAAAAACAGCAGAAAGTGGCAATTACCTACAGTATTTTGGGGTTTGAAGTCTAATGTAAAAGTTAAAATACACCCATGTGTAACACTAGTGTATCCAATAGTGAACTGAGATGATAACTGAATGTTCAACAGTGCCAGTGATACCCACCCCCCAACTCTCCTTCCCAAGAGCTGATCATAAGGTTTTAAGACGTGACAATGATCACTGCTGTAACGCTGAGCACTGACTGATCTCTCCTCATTGCGGAGAATGAATTAATGTTAAAACTACTTGGTATTTTCACCACTAAACCTCCATCAAGTACTCTATACATTTTCACACATAACTACATATTTAACAGCAGAAATACATAGAAATAATCTCAGGATCTTCTTATTTGCTGCCGTTGTGTTTACTGTACCTTGACTTACAGATATGAAGAGCTTCCATATACTTTATTCATGCAATATAATTTCTCAACATTGATTCTTAGATGCCATTGAAAGTAAGATGAACCTTAAGTTCATAAATTTTAAAATGTGAAAAAAGTGTGTCCAATAATCAAGGATATGTAGTATGTAATATGTTTGTAATTGTAGTGTACTCATTTTAGCTTCTTTGAGCTTCCTGCGTGAAGAAGCCAATATTGTCCACCGAGCAGGAGCTATTGGAATAGGCGGCTTAGGTGGTTTAGTGATGGGTTTGCGCGGTGGTTGGTTTAAACGTATAATTTATGGAGCAGCTGGTGCAGCAGCCATGGCAGCACTGTGCTACCCTCGTGAATCAGCAGAAATTACTGAGCAGTCCCTACAAATTTCAAAGTATTATTTCACCATTGCATATAATTTCATCTATGGAGGTATGTAGATCTAACTTTTTGGTACATTTTTATACATCATTTAGAATGGTAAGTTGGCCACGTTGGCATTTAATATTTTAGGCACAAGGTAGTTGTTTTCATACTGTGTTGCTTAATTTAAGTAGTTTGTAATTTGTTTATGTTGTAACAAGTACAATCATTGTTATGCAATAGTCATATAAACAAACACCCGTTTTTATGCATTGAGGTATTGTTGGACTATAACAATGGGAACAGTGTTTTCTGTGTTGTCCATGGTGAGATGTTGTAAGCAGGACAGTTTGAACCAACGATTTAGTTGCTGGGAAGAGTTGTCAGGAGTTCAGTAGAGTGAAGTGACATGAAGTAGCTGGTTGGTGAGTTGTTAGTTGAAAGTCAGCCTGTGAAGAGAAGACTAGGAGGTTAACTGTCAAATGGCCATTTAGTTGATCTGTCGGTTGACAAGAATTCTGCATGGGTGACTGTGACAAGAGGGTCTGAGTGCAGAAAGCTGAAGAATCTTTCCCACTAAAATCAATTGCCAGAAAACAGTTAGTGGATACTGTAATAGACTGAGGGCACTAGTCAGTATGTGTCAGTGATCTGTAAAGTGTAGTTCTAAGTGGTGCATGTAAGTGGTCAATAAATTCATTCACGAATCCATAGCTCTTCTATAAGGCACGCACACCAAATACATGACAATATATTTAACATAAAATGTGTGAGTTATTCAAGAAGTCTGTAAATTCTTGCTAGTAGAAGTGTACATAGTGTTATGGCATGTTTAACTGCACACCATCTTCAGAGTAGTTCACTTCCATTGTCACTCAATTCTGCCACTGGCCATATCACTGCAAGAAGCACTCCTTTGTACCTTGCTAAACTGCCTCCTTTATAGCCTCTTCCACATCTTTCGTCTTTCTGAGGCTAAGGAACACTCAGTTACTAAAATCTTAAATTAAATGTGTCTGTTACAGTGCAATTTAATTAAGTTCAGTATGAAAACCAATGAACTTTGTGTGAAGTGAAGACCTGTAATGAACTGTAAGCTATAGTGTCTTCTGCACATGCTGCTTGTCGCTGAATACTATGCTTAAATGTTGTCACCATGAGGAAGAACAATAAGTCATAAAGCAGAAAGCTGACACAGGGTGACATGTTGTATTGTCTAGTACAAATCATTGTAAAGCATCGCTGATACATACAGTATGCACCGAAAATACAGTACTGAAATGAAAAGACGTCCTGTTGATACCACTGTCTATTCATGTGAAGGCCCCTTGCATGACAGAACCTTCTCACATCCTGAAGAAATGGTCTGATCACCATGTCCCTGTAGCGTTCTTGGGTGACGGTAAGAGCATTGCCTTCCTCATCCTCAATGAAATAGGGGCCTAATATACCGTGTGCTGAGATGGCGCACCATATCGTCAGGTGTACTGTGTAGCGGTTTCTGGACGATAACATCCGGCCGCTCAAAACCAAGGAAGCGAGTTGTCTGGCGACCACTTCCGTATGAGCGGAAATAATACTCAACTGTGAATACTTTTTCCTCTGTCAAGAGACCCATTTCCAACAACAGCTGCACAACACAACTTCCTTTTCACTACTGGGAACACGTGCAGCTGGAGCTATGCTCCATCAACAAACGCACATGCACATTCGAGATGCGCGGCAGTACTGTATATTTTGGCATATACTGTATTACTAAAAGAGTTGACTGGGCAACACTTAAATCATTATGGGAAGCTGTAATCAATAATTAAGGGGTTAAAAATTCTACAGTTAATCCACCCATAGATAATCAAGAGGTATTATGAAACTTAGATTAGCAGTACTGATTTAGAAACATAGGTTTTACAAGTTCAGTGATAAGAAATTTGATTTTACAGTGAAGCCTGATAGCTTCAGGTTTCTTTCGACATCATCAACTGTACATAGTGATAAGCCTTCAGCAAAAGACTCTGCTCAACCTGTTCCAGATCAGATTGCCTTGCCAGTAGATAAAGGACAACCACTATCAACACCAGGACCAGTTCCACAGGTAGAAGAGTGTTCCAAATGTAAACAAATTCCATCTTCTAAAGTGATCTCTGAAGAGATTATCTCAAAGATGAACAGCAGTATATCTGCATCCTGCTCCTGTCCTGATCCTGCCATTGGTAACCATAGTAGCAGCAGTGAACTGGATAAACTGGGGGAAATGATGAGCGATGTTGCATATTGGGGGTTCCGGCTTGTCAGCATGGGTCCCATGTTCTGGTAAATATGATGGCATCCTATCATTTCCATCCTGTTCAATCCTGCCCATTTTGGTCACTCTTAACTAGAGGGTTGTGATGATGCACTGCTCTGAGGTTATCCATGTACCATCAGGCATAATGATAGTTTCACCATAGATTTCTAATTTTAAAGAAGGGTAATGGTTCCATATTAGTTTTTAAGTGGATCATTTCTGTATGCCATACATTTGAAGTTGTCACTTCCTTTCCAGATCATAAATTTTTATGTGGTAATTGTACTGAATGTAAAAGAACATGGCAAACATGTAAAATATAGTTCGTCTTTCTGTTTGATGACAGTAATTTAAAGCACTGGAGCTAAGCATGTGAAGTTATATGTGAAAATTTATCATGAGTATACATATAAATTCTGAATTAAAGTTTTCTGTATGTTAATAATAATAAACATGTTGACAGTCCAGTAGTTTGATGTTACATGGAACACGTTTTATACAGCCAGTAACTGTTATAACAGTTAATTATGCGTAGAAATGAAGCACCTAATTGTATAATTATGAATTTAAACTTCTTTCCTCATCATTTGAAAGAAAGTATATACACCTAACTCTCGATTATCCAGGATAATCATGGGGATGGAAATCACGATTAATCGAAAACCTGGTTAAGACAGATTTTATTAAAAGTAGTACTGTAATACTGTACATTCATAATACTATAGGCCTACCTGTATTTAAATTTATTCAACCTCATTTTCATGTCTTATCATGGCCTATTTAATACGTTTTTTACATTACACTGAAGTATGAATTAATTATTTCAGTCACAGTGTTCAACAACATCCATCACTTTTTACGAATATCCACACTTAACGCTTAAAAAAAATTAATATTGTCATTTTTTTTTGCGGCATTTTCCTTTTTACGGATATCCATACGAAGACTATGTAATATTAGCTTGTCACTTGATAAACTGTTCTCTTCACTCTCAAGATAGTCTAGTAAGGATTCCAAATGATTAAGAGCAGCACCATGTGATATTTTCTTACTAGCAGCACTGTCCACCTCTTACTCATTCTCACTTTCTTCCCGCTCTTCTGGCTGCACCCCCACTGAACTTACGATTTCGTCACTGCTTAACATTTTGAAGCCCGGCTCACACGAGTTTCTGTTGAATACTTAACACAGCATGCTTTCTTTTACACCCTGACATTTTGCTAACTCACTTGAAGATCGATAGAAAGAGACTAACTGGGGCAGTGTATCTGTCCTTGAAACTTTCCACAAATCCTTGCATTCTTTCACCCCTACCCTAGAACATTGTGTTAGCATAACAGGACCAAAGAATGCAGAGCTCAGTTCACACTAGTGCGAAAATAGTGTTACAACTCACCATGTGAAACAAAAGTGAACGAACATTAAACAACATATAAGCCTCAAAAAAGCCCCGGTTAAGCCGCAAACCGGTTTATCCGCCCCCGGATAATCGAGAGGTGAGTGTACTTGTATTATAATTTTCCCAAAACATCACAAGTACCTGATAAGAGATATTGTATTATGCTGTGTCAGATAATCCATTGTTTGTATCTTATGATAATCTTGACATTATCTTGACCTCCTGATGTTATATAAGAAACTGTAAAGAAAGCTGTTGAAATATTACAACTATCACGACTATTGCCTTCTGGTTATAACAGCTTTCCTTTTTTACAGTTATTATTACATTTGTTAATCTTTTTTTAACAAGGAAGTTTTAAGTTCTTTTGCTATTCGAAAGATTAAATTGAGCTTGCAGACACTTCTTAAACAGCCACTGTACACAGGAACTTTCCATGTAGAGCTGTGCTGTGTATTGTTTCATATATTAGCTTTCAGAAGTTTCTCTTCCACACCCAGAATAATAAAAATATTTTCTCTTTTTTTTTTCTCCCCCCAGGTAATTCGGGATCAGTCCAATCCAGCTGACAAGGACCTTTACACCAATCGAAGATGAAGACAATTTTCAAAAAGTGATAGTGATAAATATTACGTTTAGCATTAATTTTCCTATCATCCCTGTCAAACTTTTAAATTGATATCACTGCATATGATCTCACCATGTTGGACATCCCATTTAAAACCTATGCACATGAGTGAAATACGATGTTAAAATGTGTAAAATGTAAATAATGGTCAACATGTTATCAAATTTATTTGTTTGACTTAAATTATTATGTAGTTTAGGAAATCAACTGAAGTAAAATGTAGAGATCAAAGTGGAAATATCATGTCAAGTTCCTTTACTAGTTCAACCAGTTTGACTCATTTTAACCCTGCTTCTTTCTCCTTGTCTCTAGTAGTACAGATGAGAATCTGGTTTTGATTGCTAACAGTCCCATGAAGGCAGGTCTCTTATTTACCTAAACCTCTTTTAGGAATTGTGTGTGTGTGTGTCTAAAATTGCACAGATGCCCTGCAGATTAATTAGCACAGATGAGCCATGCTTCTTATAAAAGTGATGAGTAATTTTTTTAAAGCTGAGTTGCTAAGCACCTTTCATGGAAATTTTTTCAAATTAAATCTTATTACTATTTTCAGTTCCTCTCTGGTTTCTTTACTTGCAATGTGGCTGTGCCATAGTTGACAAGTCGAATGTAGGTGATCCTTGAACGAGTGGGTCTCAGAAGAGTACTCTTGGGTATAATGCTATATAGTCTAGTAAAAGTTCGTCAGTGTTTTGGAGGAATATATTGCCTCCATCTTCAGGTTCAGAAAGTAAGCAGCAGGAACCAGAGTGCTACTCTTCAGAGACCCACCATGAAAACCTAAAATTTAATAAGTTCTAAGTTTTTGAACATGATCTATTCCATTGCTGTCCTTGCATATAGCCAAATCGTGTGAAAACTTTCTCCTTTTGTATAAACAGGAATTGGGCTTATAGGTCCTATTCTAAGGCTCAAAGTTGAGCACTGTTCTCATCTTCCAACACCTCTTCCCTCCTTTGGGTTCATAATATTTAATTTCAGTAAGTGTGTTGTCCATTCTCAATAGGTGGCATGTCCATTGTTATCCATTCTCAGTAGGTGGTGTGTCCATTATCATCTAAATCTTTTGGTATTGGCCATGATGCTACTTTACCCGCATTGACTCTGTGTAATATTATTCCTAATATGGTCGTGTTTAGAAAGAAATTATATTTGTTGAATCTCCCTTCTTTACTTTACCTTTTCCTTTCACACAAAACCAATGTTACATATCCAAGAATTATGTGGTTTAGGTTGTGTTTTTATGAAATCAAAGTTATGTAATGTTGTTTAAAGAATGTCGTCTTTTAATTCCAGGAGCCGGGATAGTGTAGTCAGTATAGCAACTGGCTATGGGCTGGATGACCGAGGGGTCAGAGTTCGAATCTTGGTAGGGTCACCCAGAACGCATCTGGTATCCACCCTACCTCCTATCCGATGGGTACTGGGTCTCTTTCCACAGGGGTAAAGAGGCTGGTTCATGAAGCTGAGCACTCACCTCCAACTAGTGCCAAGGTCAAGAAAATGTGCCTCTGTACATCCAATCCCCCATACACTTTCATGGCATATTGCTTAATTAGTTAAGCACAGAGACGACTTTACCATTACCTTTTAATTGCACTCATTGAAGTAGATTTACCGATTTTGTAATCCATTGACACTGATCTTTCATGCTATCTGAAGGCACTATAGATCACTGTGGTCGCGGTGCAAGGGCCAAGAAGGCCCACCTCTTATACATTCATTCATTCATTCTTTCATTCATTCATGCTATCTTGAAATTAGATGTAAGCCATTAATTAATATTTATTTATTTTGTTTGTTTTACTTGATCAAAATTTAAATCTGTGTTACATTAAATATGAATGAGGTGGGATATAAGAGTGTATTGCAGTCAGAATTACTGGGTTTTCTGACCCATTAGGATCTAAATATATTGTAGTGTTATACACTTGTAATACACTGTTCTTCAGGAATTTTCTTGAGTTTGCTGGCAACAGAAATTTGGCTGTTTGACAGTAATTGGGAACCGTTAGTTTCTTGGAGAGGTCTTCCAAGTTCACACACAGAAATGTAACAGGGACCACATATGAGTGGATGAAACATTTTTCTGTAGCGTCAGTGACCAGGCAATGTCCCTGCTGAAACCAGTGGAAGACACAGATTGGAATGGATCGAGTGTGTTGGGTGCCTGTTCATGTAAGAAACATATCTGGCGCACCATAGTACAATTTAGTTTAACCTTTAAATGCCGGACTTCTGAAATAGTGGTAAGCTTGAGCTGGCCAGAGTTTATTTAAATGCCCGCTGCTGGAGCGCGTTTAAATGCCCGTTGGTACTCTGCCTTTAAATGTCCGTTCCTGTTAGTGCGCCTAAACAATTTTAAGCACTGTGTTTAAAAATGCTGTATCTAACTCAATTTTTATGATAAATGGATGGAATTAATTTTGTTTGTATCAGCAAAGAACATAGTGTCGCATATTATAACGGAAGATTTGAAATTTTTTATACAAGTTATACTCCATTTTCAATTTTTTGTTTTTAATTTTGATGAGTACTGCAAAAATGATTNCTGTAGTTTTATTTCAGCCTAGATATACATCAAGCAGATAACAACAAAAAAGGTATGTACATCGAATTTTACTGTATATTTTTAACACATTAATCTGCAGAATCTGCAATAAAAGTACTGGCTCGTGGATGAGTTTGGGCATAACTCATACGTATACTCTTTTTGTTGTTGTTCACCTAGGTATCATTTTAATTTTTCTATTAGGGCTTTACTCAAGTCTGTCTGGTAATTACTACATTTAAAAATAATAAATATTTAGGACTGTGCATTTGCTTCTACTAGCGGCGTGTGCACGCGCTTCCCCTAGCGGAGTTTAAATGCCCGAGTGGCCAAAACTGGGTACTTAGGCCACGATGACCTTACTCACCACTGGCACAAACGGGGCACTTCGGCACTTAAAGGTTAATAAATAATGCACAGTATGATGAATTCTTCAAAAAATAACCATTCAAGATTAAATCCAAACTCCATCATTCTTTGAGAATCGACTTCCACCCATGTAAGTGAAACCTGAGTGTCGCATCTTCCCAACTCCCTAGACTACTGAGACTTTCCTCCATATCACCCTTATCCAGATTCCTCAGGAAAATTCAGATGTTGCCTAGTAGCCAGATTGTTAAAGAACTAGCAAAAGCTACAGGCGCGGTGTCACCATGTGGGTTTCTCATATTAGATATTGTGTTGGTAAGATATTTCAGTGGTTGCTCTTGCTAAATAATTTGGTCATCTGTTAAAAAGTTTTCATCATAATAACTCCTCCCCTTTCTTTGCTATAGATTTCATCTTATCATTTGATGTAGTCATGCCATATTTATGGCTGTGATTTTAAAAAGAATATGATCTGCTTATTGTAGATTGCCCTATGTATCATTTAAAAATGGACAGTTATCAGCATACAGCATAACTGAAGCCATACCATATTATATAACTTGTCCGTTGTTCCTTGTCCAACTCCCCGTATAATGTGTATTGTGTTTGAAAATATAATACCGTTTAATTCCCTTTAACGTCTGTATTTTTACACAAAATCATAATTGTTTAATGAATTTAGAATTCATTCCATGAAGTTATGAAATATCCGGTGATGTTGATCTGACGATTCTATTACAAATTTGTTTAAAATATTTAAATAAATATACTTGTAGGTTACATTCTTTTTTCAGTAGCCTGCTGTAGTGTAAATACTGGGTCTTCATTTTTATCTTTTAGGAAGTCCAGATTTTTTCTCTAATTATTTTGTCTGTACATATTCACTGTAAATTATTCTTCAGTTCTCTGCTGTAGTGTAAATATAGGGTCTGTACAAGACCATTTATAAAGTCCAGATTGTAATTATTTGTGTATATGCAACATATTTTCCAAAATCTTTTATATACAAGTACTTATGTTGTATCAAGCAAAATAATTATCACACTTCTCTGTTAAAATGTATTGAAACCAGTTCTCAGAATTTTCTAAGATCTCTTTCCAGAGCTATTACATAAAAATTTCTCCCAGTTTTGTCTATTTTGTTTTCCTTGGAAATTGCTTCATTACTTCTTTTCTAATATTCTGTTCCATTTGCCACCTTCTGGGTAGGAAGGAATATTTCGTATGAGGTTTTCTGGTTTTTGTCGCCCCTTTTAATTTTTAATCCCAGAAACAGCAAACATTTTGCTTTTCTTTTCTACAGTTTTTATTGTTTTGGTTTCTTTTGTGTGTGCAATTACAAATCCAGTACGTTTTATGTATTTTTGAGGAAGTCTAATGTTTATGAGTAATAAGTAATGATCAGTATTGATTTCATCACCCTTGCATACTTTGGTTTCTGTGGCATAGAACTTTAATTTCTGATTTAGTCACTGATTTTGAGCTTGTTTCCCTTATGGCGGTCCCTTGAAAGTGATCGTGTAAGTAGGGACGTAAGATTCCTGTATGTAGTAATCCATAGTCCTCTAGATGACTCTCCATGCTATAGTGTGTTCTGCTGCCATCTTCGAAACCAAGTTAATATCGTTTGATGCGTTAATTTGTTAAAATGATGCTGCCGACCTTTGGTCGGTGGGAGCAAAGGTACGTGTTATATCGAAATGTGCGCATGCGCTCGAAAATAAAAACATCCGTTTTAAACAGTTCCGTTTCCGTTCTGGCATCTAGTTGAAAATCATTTTATGTATAAGTTAATGATTAGAACCTTTTTTGCTAAGATTATAACAGTGGTGTGATAATTTTTTGGCAAATAAACAACGATACTGAAAGACTGCTTAACAGGTACTGTCATTTGTATGCTAGTAGGTTCTGTGTCGTATGTAGTCATCTCTTGAAAAGTTTGTTATCTGTCATTTAGGGCGGCTAGGAACGATGAAGTATTTGTACGTATTATGAATTGGAACACTTTATGCAGTTGTTGTGACGGTGTTCTACGAATCACGCGTTTAAAATTAAGTGTTCAGATGACGTTAATTATAGTCTGAATGATGTTAGAAATAACAGTTATACAGTTTCTGCTACCTCCAATGTCAAATGTATAATGATTTTTATGTATGAAGTTTGTTTGAATTTGCGTCATAAAGTTCCTTTATTGTTTCATGTGGTTTATAAATTTTGTATTTTAAGTCCTGTGACTTGTAAAATGTAGGTTATGTTTCATATTTATTGGAAGATGCCCTGTGGCAATTCTTCATATTCAGATTTATTTAGAGATGTGTTTTCAGATTCACATACATACAACTCTGGATGACCTCATTTGAGAGAAGAATAATATTATTCATAGCCTTACAAGGTTGACATTCTCTCCATCCTACAGTCTCCTTTGTAACTCTAGTAATGGGATACAAGTTTAGGTAACTTTTGCTTGGCATCTGAAAGTTTAAAATAGGTGTGGGATGGGGATGACCAAAATTAGTAGGAAAATCTTACACAGCCCACCAGTTTTAAACACACCTAATGAAGCTCACAAAAAAAAATTAAAATATGTGTTGTCATGCTCCAGTACATATCTACAAGTATTTCTGACCATAATGAAAGAACATTTTCTGGTATAAAGTATGTAGGTATAGTAATGTGTATCACTTTTTTAGGTTCATTTGGTATTCACCCTTAATCAGTTTTGAAGTTCCCATTTCTATGTCACAATAATGACACAGTTTTTATAAAGCATCGCTATAGATGTGTTATAAAACAAGTTGTTATTGTCAAGAGCTTGACCAAATAAAATTACACTTGATTAATTTTTGTTTATTTTTAATGCTGTAATGAAACTTCCTTTCTGATGCAGAATGTAGCAGCTGAATTTCTTTTTGTGGTTTATAGCAGTCATAAAACAGTTTGTTACTGAATGATCAAACAGTATATCCAGGATCACTACACACCAGAATGAAACGGTCTTTTTTTTTTTAATTTGTTGCACTAACTGAGTAATGAGTCTCAAGTGATGGAAAATCGCTGTAGTACAATCCTCAGTACAAATGAAAATTCAGTGTGCGTTGTGGGGTATATAATAATTAAATGACAAAATATGTATAGGTTTCTAATTCAGTCTCACAGTAGCAGAGAAGTTTTGCCTACTAAATTAGCATTCACAATTCTCACCAGCCCTGTGCAACTTTGTTGACATATTAAGGTTCACTGCCCAGTGATAGCAGTTTCCTCTACAACTTGTACACCTGATGATGGCCAGTTTGGCCAAAACATGTAGTGTTCAAATAATAGGAAGAGACGAATGCTTTTGAAGTGTGCAGCAGAATACTGCAATATAATATTAAGTTTTGCCTAGTTCTAATCACATACCTGTGTTAAGGTCTGTAAAAGAGAACGTTTTTGTTCAAAATAGGCTTCATCTCTAGAAAAGTAAAGTAAAAAAGAAAAAAAAAACAGGAGGAGCTGGATTCAGCACATGAGTTTCTTGCCTGTGCAGATGATGTTAACATATTGGGTGAAAGAAAATCCTGCAACTCAAATAGATGCTAATAAATATAATAGAGAAAATGTATGTTTATACTTTATACTTATAATCACAAGAATGGTATAACATGATTAGGTGTTCAGGTGTTTCAAATAAATCCAAACATATACAAAAATACTTTCCACTTTAACTATTTATATAACCCTTTAAATAGATAATGAATCATTTCTAGATAATAGGAGTTCATAAACAGAAAAGAATGATTGTGTATTTAAGTATCTTTTGTGCTACTTTATGTTGTGCCTTTTCATTCATAACACCTTTGAGACTAAATAGCAGATTGTTGAAGATTTAGATGCGACCATAGTATACGTATATCTGAAAAGCTAAGGGGTTGGCAGTTGGTCTATGAAGATGGTGCTCATTTCTTGTGTTTGCACTGTTGAGTAGCTGAGTTAACCTGAAAATGTTCCCAGTTATTTACATTGAAATTTATTAATGAAAATATGTATTCACATGAAAGACATAAGATCTCTAATGTATTAAATAGACCTCTACATACATACATCCAACTGCACAACATGCCCCACTTAACTTGGGAACCAAGAATTTTATATTTACTGACTCTACTCCATACTTATCATTATGTCCAAAGTTGAGAGGATATTATGGTGAATTATTTGTTATAAATTTTATAATGTTTGGTTTGTGTACATTCAGAGCCTTCTTGGTATTGTAAACCAATTACTCATACAAAAGAGAGCACTGTCTGACAATATAGCAAAATTATCATAAATTTTACACAAAATTATGACACCATTGTTGTCGGCAATTATTGTGGGTACAGATAAGGTATTTATTGTCAAAGGGAGGTCATTTATATATGAGTACATTATGAAAAGTAAAGGCCCTGGAACTGACCCCTTTATTATACACCAGTTTGAATAAGAATTTTGGATTGCATTAGATGATTTTGTTCAATTTTTTGTTTTCTCTCAGATAAATAGGATTTGAACAAACATGCCACCATTCCTTGGATGCTGATGCAACATCTGTAGTATGAACTGATTGAAGTAGTGGTACGTTTGGACTTTCAAGTCATTCGAATTACTGGATTTCAAATAAAAATTTCAAATATTTTAGTGAAACTCTTTATTCAAAAATATTACACTTTTCAATGTAGCTTTCAGTTATGTAACTGGCTTACATCTTTGACCACCTAGAGAGGCAGGTCAATTAGCATATAATATTCCAGAAGAATGCATTTTTATTGCAAGAAAGTAAAATAATTACATTACATTTGTATCTTTTGGAGGTGCCTTTTGTTTGGGAGGGGTTTGGTACTGGAAGTCGGTTGGGTTTACTGGGTGTTCAGATAACGTATGTTGTGCATTATGAGGTTTCACTGTATTTGTTATTTCAATGAGAGCTGTACAATCCACACATTTCTGGTCCCTATTTCTGGCCTTGGCCATATATAAACATCCCTGTTTCCGTCTACAGCATTTTTAATAACAAAGTACAAACAACATAGAAGCATCATTATTGAATAAGATAACAGACCTGCCAGCAGCATGTTGAACTTGTTAGCTTTTCTGGCACCATCTTCTGTATTCGTGGCCATGGTAGCGCATGCTGGTATTCACAGCCCTCACAATCGAAACATTTCCCATTTTCTGAAATCAGCTGATAATGAAATGTTTTATTTTGTATCGCTTTTTCAATAGACAGCTGGAAGGCTCAGAGGCGGCTGGAATGTTTCCATATCAGAAACAACTGAAAGTCACTTAATCTCCTCTGAGGCTTCACTGTTTCACAGATTGTATTTAAATCGCCTGTTTCCAAGTGCGGTACTGCGACTGATAATTTGAATGTTGCGTTTTTGTGTCCTTTGTATGCAGTGGTCACAATGTGTAATAAGTGGGGGGACTGTATGGTTCTTTCTTTCCGATATTGTGGCTCTACACTAAAATTTGTGAGCGGTACGTGATTTTGGTTCATATCAGTCGTACTTAAACCCTATGTTACACGAAACTTCGACTGAACTTAATCGATTTTCTCAGAAACGGTTAATCATTCGAAAGTTTACAGTTAGTAAAATAATGTGTTTATCGCTTTAAGATGTACAGTTCTTATATGAAGCATTTTTAATGAAGTACAAGGAAAAGTGATTCCTGTCTAGTTGGTTTTGCAGTATTTTGGTTGCATTAGTATTTGCAGCATTCTAGATTGTATATGATAGGATGACGAATTGAAAAGGACTTGAAGAAAAGGATCGTGGCCTGATCGACGTATTATCGCGACGTTTGCATGGAGGCGCTAAGGAAAACCACGAAAACGACCAGTCTGGTAACTGGTGTCTCAACCGAGATTCGAGCTAAGCACTTCTGGAACGGAAGTACTTGTTCGGTAGAATTATGTCGGTGTTCATTCAATTGCATTTCTGTTGTTCAATAAAGTACGTTGTTACGTGTCTATATAATAAGGAATTTTGATAATAAATGTGATTAAAATTATTGTTATTTGATACACAGACTTATATAATATTCACTTAAAATTTAAATATTACGTCATAAGAATTAGTGGATTTAGCATTCACAAGCCTAATGAATATGATCAGCGTATTTGAGAAAGATTTATATTAGTGAGGTTAGGCGCTTAATTCAGTTCAACTCTTTATATATTTGCGTGGTTACTCAGCAGCCGAAGAGGCCGTCGATTGTGAAATAAACACGAGTAAAGAAAGATACGAAACAAATACGATTATACGTAGGTCGTACCGAAAGTCATGAGCAACTTTCTTTTGCATGCAACCTGGGAACAGCAGAGGAAAGAGAGTACGGTGGTAGGTGGAACCAGCTGTTGTGTTAACCTTGAGTGTCTTGCGACGTCAATAGTTTGCATCACATGACCAGTATTACTCCTAACAAAATGGCCGACAACGATATGTCGTTTTGCCAGCGTGCTGTCATCGAATTTCTTGTGAAAGAGGAAATCCCTGCTGCAGAAATTCACCAGAGACTTATGCGTGCTTATGGAAGTGTGTGCATCGGTGCGAGCAGTGTTCGAGGATGGGTGAAATATTTTAAAGATGGGAACACCAGCATCGAAGATGAGCCTTGGAGCGGTCGTCCTCGAACAGCCTCAACTGAACGCAACAAGGAAAGAGTGGATGAGATCATTGAAGATGACAAGCGTGTGACTGTGGACACAATAGCCCGAAAACTTGGAATAGGGCACAGTGCAGTACAGGAGATGAAAGAAAGCTTGGGCTATAGGAAAGTATGTGCTCGTTGGGTCCCGCGGTTATTGACCGAAGACCACAAAGGTTAGCGAAAGGCCATCACCTCAGAACTACTGCAGAGTTATCGACACGAAGACGATGATTTTTTGCTCTGTACTGTGACAGGTGACGAAACCTGGTTTCACCATTTCGAGCCTGAAACGAAACGGCAGAGTATGGAATGGCACCATTTGCATTCTCCATCAAAAAACAAGGCAAAGACAGTGCCATCAGCTGCGAATGTGATGGGCACAGTCTTCTGGGATGCGGAGGGGTTTATTCTGGCCGAATTCCTGGAACCTGGGCAAACCATCAATGCTGCTCGTTATGTCCAGACGCTACACAAGCTCCATCGTGCATTGCGCGATAAACGTCCAGGACGAAACATCATCATCCTGCATCACGATGCTCGCCTCACATTGGAAGCAACTGCAAAGTTCTTCCACACCCCTCCTATAGCCCTGATCTGGCACCCTCCGACTACTATCTTTTTGGATTTGTGAAGGATCAGCTGCGTGGACAAGGTTTTGAGACAAGGGAGGCAATTCAGAAAGCAGTGCGTCAGTGTCTTCGGATGGCTGGAACGGAATTTTACAGAGGGGGAATTTTCAAACTCCCAGAACGCTGGGAGAAATGTGTACAAAGAAGTGGCGATTATGTGGAAAAGTATAGAAAGGTCTGTAGATTGAGGTGGTGTATTTGGTTTGTCAATAATAAAGCATGTTACTTTACAAAAAACTGTTGCTCACGACTTTCAGTACGACCTTCGTATATGCACAACAGACAGAACAAAGTAACTTGTATCAATCAGACGATAAAAATTCAATTAGTGCAGTCATGCCAACCATTATGCTATGAGATGATGATAATACCAAATTTTAATTTTCCCGTTGTAATATTCTTATCATCAAAAAATTAACATCAAGGTTGCTGTGTTATTCGTTTTTGTGGTATAATGAATCGCACCTATCCAAGCTTCATGGCTTACGTGCAGCATCGGAATCGTCGTCCAGCCTGTGGCAACTCGCGGCTCGAGATGGATTTGTGTGGTGGGAATCACTTGAATCTGTGGCCTGGTCCTTCGTTCTCCAGTATGAAGCCATTAACTAAGTTCTCGAGCGCGGCTGAATTTAATTAAAGCAGTTACTAGTCGGTAATTAAATAAATTGCTTTCAAGCTTCAGTATGAATTTGGCGAATTTTACACACTCAC